TTTTTTTTTTTTTTTTTTTTTTTTTTTTTTTTTTTTTTTTTTTTTTTATAGGCAACGATGTTTCACGATCTACGAAGACGAACGAATCAAAGAGACAGAATTTACGAATCGAACGTACAAATCGAAATTGTCCCACGCAAAACTGAATCCGGGCGAGGCACGGTGGACATCGTTCGACAAAAAAAAAAAATAAAAAAAAATATGGAAAAAAAACGTGGGGAAAAAAAGAGAATAAATTAAGCAATCAGCCAATACCACGGTCTCAGTACGAAATATTTGTACACCCATATCAATATCTTACGTTCATATTGATTTGGATATATAGCAGCCGACGTCTCCAATTCAAAAAGTACAAGTCTCGATCGTGTTTAAACGCATTCATCTCAAACGACTTACGAGTACCCCCGTTGGACGTTCCTAAACGATCGCCGTTCACGAGTCTTTCCGTAACACATCGCGGGTTCGCCTGAGAATCCCGCGATTTCATTCTACGCGGCAGGAAGCGTAAATCGTTCTTCGATCGTATTCGAGCGTGTACGCTTCCGTATTTCGTCGGATCGGCAGATTTTCAACGAGCGATCTCATAACACGTGGAACGAATATCGCTCGATCCTGTAACACTCGCCGATCGTGTGCGTTAACGTAACCGATGCAGGCCTGGAAAAACTATGAAACTTGCATTAATCTGTTAGGGGAGATTACGATATCCGTGGAGCCGCGATTCGACCATTTGTTCGATTCAATTTATTAGAAAAATAATGTCGCGAACCACGATTCTCTGTCACGTTTTAGTTTACAAATTACGTTTATTATTAGTACGACCGTTATCGTACTTTTAACCGTTTACGACCCTGGAATCACGGTTCCGGCCATTATTTTTCTCGTAAATTGTGTTAAATGAAGAAACACGGTCGAATTCGCCGCACGGTGGAACGAAACGGCTTTCGGCGATCAAAAATCGATTTTCGTGAATTCGAAAAATGGAGAAACTGTATTATGTACATCGATAGAGGATGAATTGCTGTTTGATGTAGTGCAATCCGTTTTTGTCATATTTGCTTCCGTTTTGCTGTGGTGCGCATTCAAAGGCAGTTGAAATTCGTCCAAGCAAAACGCTTACGATATTACTCCTAACTTCAATACAGGGTGTCCCAAAAATGTTGGAGGTCCTTGAAAAGGGTGGTTCAGGGGGTGATTTGAAACAACTTTTTCCTTAGCGAAATTGTTGTCCGAGGCTTCGTTGAGGAGATATTAACGGACAAACACTGACCAATCAGAGCGCGCGGATACCGATGGAGCGGCCGCGATAGCGATGGCTACGCGCTAGGTAGCCGCTCTCGTACGCGAACAAGTGACTCGACGTGCATCGAAGGATATTCACGCGGCCGCTCAGCGCGTAGCCTTCGCTACCGCGGCCGCTCCAACGATATCCGCGCGCTCTGATTGGTCGGGTTTTTTTTTATTAATATCTACTTAACGAAGCCCCATCCGACATTTATTGCAAAGGTAAAACTTGTTTCAAATCACCTCCCGAACCACCCCTTTCAAGGACCTCCAACATTTTTGGGACACCCTGTATACGATTCTATAAGACTTTGCTCGGAAAGACGATATTCAAATGAATTATAATGTTTACTAGATTTGTATAGATAGTATTCAATGCATAAAGTAAGTCAAAATGTTAACAACTTTTTATAAATAATATGGGTCTGCTTGGAGAGAAGTACGTTTAAGTAAAATTGTAACTTTACGCATGGTTATAAAAAATTGACCGCACTTGTCCGAGGTTTAATTGCTATCACTGGAAAGGGTGGACCATCCTCTATCAGATTCTGAAAAGATCAAGTGCCCCTTCGTGCCCTTTTTCGAGAAATTGGCGATTGTACTAAGTAGGACTCGAACAGAAAATAGTATGTACGTTTGTACGCTTACTTCTATGGTTATTACGTACATCTTGTCATTTTTAAATTACTAAATACGTTTCTCTCATAGTTAATAACAGGTCTGAGTGGAATTTTGGTTAAATAACAATAAATATGTCAAACAAGTGAAAAATATTGAACTCGTTACACTTTATACGTGAATATTTGGACACCTTGTAGCTCAAATTGATTTATACCAATACAATTTAAGTACCATAGTATAGGGAATAAGTTCCTAAAATTTCATTAAAATATTTTCAAGAGAACCAACGTTACGGATTTTTGATCGCCGAGAGCCGTTTTGTCTCACCGTGCGCTGCGCCACGGAAATCGTAATCGTGCCGTTTGTTACATTTACTCTTTTAAAGACTTTTATTTTATATTTAAAAGTTCCTTAGCGGTATTACTATCTCGGGATGTTTTCTTTCTACGTACCATAATCTGCCAATCGGATTAACGACACGAGGAACCGGAAGTGATTGAAGAAAATTCTGAAAGCTAGCCGAGATTCGATTTTTCTTTGTTGTTTCGTTCACTTTTTGAATCGGGAGGCGCGCGGTGCGTTTATATCTTCATATATATATTTGGTGGAATATATATATATTTATATATATTTATTTGTGTGTATACGTAATATATGTTGGTATATAAACACGTAGTGAGTTAAGGTAATATATAGAGTAAGGTGAGGTTAGATACGTGGCTTAGGCTGCGCGAACGCCGGTCTCCGAAGCTCCACCTACTGACTGGGATCAAATCGTCTTTGTAATGGTCCGCTGCAAACATATTGACAGCCACAACTGTAGGCGCTATCCTTCGGTTTTTTAGCGGCTATACCGTCACGGTAATACGCTCGCAGATTTTCACCAGTATAATCCTCGATTCTCGTATTATTTCTGGTTGTTTTATCGTTAAACACAGTGTATACTGATCTACTTACAGACTAAACTTTTACACATCCCTTAAATGCTATGCTCTGTAATTATATGTCTGCCTTAGGAACAGAGCAGACTGAATTAGGAATAATCGCATAAGTGTCCGAGCTGTTAATCAAATACGACAGTGGATTACTGTAAAATGGTGTATAGTGGTTCATGCTTGTACGTCAATCGAATATTCTCATATGCACGTACGAACCTCGAAAAGTCTGTAGCAATGTTAAATTAAATTATGTACCTCGCTTGTACGAGTTGTAAAGTAACTTCTTTGTGGAATATTGCCACAAGTGTAACCGATTATTGACAATACCCGTAGCAATGTTGCACCATCCAATTTTGATACCAATGGATTCTTTTACAGTTAAATAACACGAAACACTTTCCTAGTGGATCAGCTACCGCATTATGCCAATCCATACCGGAATGTTTCAAGCGTGAAGAAGCTATAGTTTAAAATTAACGCTCTATCGCTCTTAAATCGCTCTGTATATATGTTAAAATATTAAGTTAATAAAATAATATAAGTATGATTTAACCAAGTTTTTTTTTTACATACACTTTGAATGTCGCATGAATAGCTGTGAATTATTCATTAATCTTTGCGTCTATGTAAATGACTTCCAGAGATCTACATTAAAATATGAAAACATTGTACAATGTACTATATTGTTTCTTATCATAATTTTCAAATAAACTGATTTGTTAAATTTATTCAAAAAATTATTATGGCTAGATTAAAATATTGTCATCCTATAACATATACATACATACATACATACATATATCTATATATATCTATATATATATATATACACGTAAAAAGTTGTGCTTCTATCCTGCTTGCAATTATTATATCCGCTACACGATGTATTACAAAAGAAACTTATACTTTCTTTGTGCTTCAAACAATGTGTTTCACATAAAAAAATGTATTATCTTTTTCGATATCTAAAGTACAACTATCGATACTTTTCCACGGTTAAATCGCGATAAAACTTTTAATTGTTACCGTAAAAATAATCACGGCATGCAATAAACGCGAACAGCGTTCGACTGTTGGTCGCTCGATACATTTTTTTCAAGCGCACAATTCATGAATATATGCATAATGCATTGTTAAGTATGCACATTAGTCGAACCAACGAAACGTGAATTAATAAAGCGAAACTTGACATAAAACGAACGAAACTAATAATACCGCGATAAAAACTGCTACGTTGGAGGCGGTATACGACTTTTAATAAAGAGTCATCACGAAAATTATCCAGGACGAACTCTGGAAGCCATTTTGTATTTCCCACACAGAATGCGGTATTGATTTATCTGTCACTGAGCAGAAATTCAAGTTTTTTTCTCGTCGTACGAAGACGAGGAGTACGTTTATGTAACAAAGATGCGAATTTCGATCGAATTTGGATGTGCAGCATTTTTCACAGGCATCGGATAGCATCGCTAACGTAAAAAAACTCTCCGTCGTACGAGTGACAAGTGGTATATTCTCGACTCGAAAACACGAGATACTCTTAACGTGTGTAACACATATTACTAGCCGTATTACGCGATTACGATGTATAGTTACCTTTCTTGTCGGTCATTATTGCTTAAAGTTTCACAAATTCTAGAAAAAAATACGTTATTCCTAATTAAATCACCGATTTAAGTTACAATACTGAGGAGACGAGCAACGGCTGTGACACTTGACGGACACTAGCGCCCTTTATTGAGCCTGCCCGTGCCTCTCTCGATGCTACGATCCTATTGGTTCGAAACGTTACGCGCCACCGCCCAATCAATGCAAAGCAATCGACCGCGAAAATTCGAAAAGCTTTGGTTCCGACTAACAGTTTTCAAGTAATTTTTTAAATCGAAACGAAACGAGACTTCTTTAGAAACAAATGTTTTTACACGTTACATAGTTTTCGAAACTTACGGAAACTTTACAAGATATATATATACAGGGTGTCCTAAAAATGTTGTAACACCTTGAAAGGGGTGGTTCGGGAGGTGATTTGAAACAAGTTTTTCCTTAGCGAAAACGTACTCGCGCTCTGATTGGTCAGTGTTTTCCGTTAATATCTCCTCAACGAAGCCTCGGACAACATTTTCGCTAAGGAAAAAGTTGTTTCAAATCACCCCCCGAACCACCCCTTTCAATGTGTTACAACATTTTTGGGACACCTTGTATAATTCAAAAATAGCTATAACTGCTACAAGAAATATTTAAAATCTTACTTCTTTGCAGATTTCATCGACACATTTGTTTTTACGATGATCGTATATTATAATATACAATTTTCAAATTTCAATTTTCACGCAAAATGTAATTCATGAAAATATAATTTCACCGCCCGCGTTGGAAAGGCAACCAAAGAGCGATAAATTGAATCTATTTAAAAATGGTAGACAAATATTGAATTTAATGACGTATTCTGTTTATTTCCTTCCAAGTGAAGTGTTTATGAATGTATTTTATTCAATGACTCCACGTATCCAAATTGTATCACGTATAACTGAACGTTGTTTTGGTAATCAACAACGTTCAGTAGAAAGGTATTAAAAACATGATTCATTTCAATACAAGAAATTTTATCCTAAAGAACATTTTATCTTCAATGTAAGGATATGTATATACATTTGAGAAACCGTTTCTTGTTACAGGAACCTTATCGATCATTAACCATTCAGCTTCCTAACCTCTCTAAAGTTTCACAACAAGTTTGCTGTAAGTACACAAATTGAGTAAGCATATCTGGAAAGTTTGTTATGGCACACGACAAAAAGACTGTAAGACGAAGTCGTTCGCGCGAACGTGATCGCGATCGTGAAAGAGAACGAGATCGACGTGATCGAAGGCGTTCGAGAAGCCGATCGAAGGATCGTAAAAAAGATAGGAAACGTTCGAGATCGCGAGAACGATCGAGAGAAAGGGACAGATCGCGTGAAAAAGATAGGGACAGGTCAAGAGAAAGACGGGAGTCCAAAGACAAATCAAAGGATGAGAAAAAACGAAAACCAAGTCCTATATTTGTCTTGGAAGACGAGAGTAAAAAAGACAATAAGGCAGAAGGTAAGAAAGAAGAGGAAGAAACAGAGGAGAAATCGAAAACTCTTCCAAAGAAAGAGCCGCTCAGTTTGGAAGAATTACTAGCTAAGAAAAAAGCAGAAGAGGATGCACGTGCCAAACCAAAATTTTTAAGCAAGGAGGAACGTGCCGCTTTAGCGCTCCAAAAGCGTCAGGAAGAAGTTGACGTTATAAGAAAGCAACAGGAGGAAATGCGTAAATCTTTCTTCCACAATGAAAGCACTGGAAAGGATAGAGATTGGGATGATAGAGATAGGTATGTAAACTTAAATAACATAAATAAACATTTATTCTGATAATAATCTATCAAAATGATGATAATATAGGCGCAGAGAAGGTCAGCGTACAAGGGAAGACGAGATCAAGGATAAGGATAAGGAAAAAGAAGTAGAAGCTATTAAAGAGCGCTACCTAGGATTGATAAAGAAGAAGCGACGAGTTAGAAGATTAAATGATAGGAAATTTGTATTTGATTGGGATACATCGGAAGACACTTCTGTAGATTATAATAGTATTTATAAGGAAAGACATCAGGTTCAGTTCTTTGGTAGAGGAAATCTTGCTGGAATAGACATTAAAGCACAGAAACGGGATCAGAGTAAATTCTATGGAGAGCTTTTAGAAAAACGGAGAACAGAAGCAGAAAAGGAACAAGAGAAGTAGGCATTTTTTTACACTGAAAATTTACGTTATAAGTATAACATGTTTTATATCTGTATTATTTTTCTGTTACTTAGAATGAGATTAAAGAAAGTGAAACGAAAAGAAGAAAAACAAAAGTGGGATGACAGACACTGGTCGGAGAAAGCTCTTCACGAAATGACAGAGAGAGATTGGCGGATATTTAGAGAAGATTATAATATTACGATAAAAGGAGGACGTATACCCGATCCAATTAGATCTTGGAAAGAATCGGAATTTCCAAAAGAAATTCTTGATATTATCGACAAAGTGGGATATAAAGATTTAACGCCTATTCAAAGACAAGCAATCCCAATTGGACTTCAAAATCGCGATATCATTGGCGTTGCTGAAACTGGTTCTGGAAAGACGCTGGCATTCTTAATTCCACTGTTATTATGGATTACTAGCTTACCAAAAATTGAAAGATTAGAAGAAGCAGATCAGGGTCCTTACAGTATAATTTTAGCTCCGACACGGTAACGCATAATTTTAACCGGTAGTCGCTCATTCGCTTGAACAAACTAACATTTATAAAATATATTATTCCAGTGAATTAGCTCAACAAATCGAAGAAGAGACTAACAAATTTGGACAACCGTTAGGTATAAGAACAGTTGTTGTCGTAGGTGGTCTCTCGCGAGAGGAACAAGGATTCAGATTGAGAATGGGTTGCGAGGTATCAATTTCATATAGTTACGTACTGTATGTAACAAAATTTCTAGCATCATAAATAAACTGTTATTATTACAGATTGTAATAGCCACACCTGGACGATTAATAGATGTATTAGAGAATCGATATTTAGTTTTAAATCAGTGTACATATATCGTATTGGATGAAGCTGATAGAATGATAGATATGGGTTTTGAACCAGGTATGCTCTTCGATATATACTCTATACTCTTATTAAGCTAAACATTGATTTCACTAAAAACTTCTAGACGTTCAAAAAATATTGGAGTATATGCCAGTTACAAATCTAAAGCCAGATAACGAAGATGCAGAAAACGAGGAAAAACTTTTAGCTAATTACAATACAAAGAAAAAATACAGACAGGTAAGAAATATTCTGTTACGTTAAAAAAAAAATCTTTTTTTCAAATAAATAATTCGCACATTTATACGTTCCTTCGTTTTTAGACTGTAATGTTTACGGCAACTATGCCACCTGCGGTAGAACGATTAGCAAGAACTTACTTACGACGACCAGCTGTCGTGTACATTGGCAGTGTAGGTAAACCAACAGAGAGAACAGAACAAATTGTTCATATTATGGGTGAAGCTGATAAACGTAAGAAACTGATGGAAATACTCAGCAGAGGAGTTGAACCACCAGTTATTATATTCGTCAATCAAAAGAAGGGTGCTGATGTTCTTGCGAGAGGTCTAGAGAAACTAGGCGTACGTTTGTTTATACTCTTGTTATCTTCTTATTACTTTAAAGCTTAGGTATTCGATTACATATTCCTTCGAATTTTTTAGTATAACGCCTGCACTCTTCATGGTGGTAAAGGACAAGAACAGAGAGAGTACGCACTTGCTTCTCTCAAAAGTGGTAGTAAAGATATTTTGGTTGCCACCGATGTCGCGGGTCGTGGTATCGATATTAAGGATGTGTCTATGGTCATTAATTATGATATGGCTAAGACTATAGAAGGTATGCGGATAATACAGCTTATTAAGGCAAATTGGAAAATTATACGAATGATTACTTGTTTACAGATTACACGCATCGTATCGGTAGAACTGGTCGTGCAGGAAAAGCCGGTCTTGCTATTTCGTTCTGTACGAAGGACGACAGTCATCTATTCTATGATTTGAAGCAAACAATCCTCGCGAGTCCAATATCTACCTGTCCTCCCGAGTTATTGAACCATCCAGACGCTCAACATAAACCTGGCACAGTAGTTACAAAGAAACGGCGGGAGGAAAAAATATTCGCCTAAAAACATTTACACCTAACTGTACGCATTTGACTGTAACCACTTGATGTTTTACATACAGCTAAGCATATATTTTTGTATAGTATATAAGTAGAATAGGCATATGTGTAAATACATACTATCAAAATAAATTCTTAATTGAAAAAACCCAATATTACTGTACATGTTTTAGCCTACAACTTTCTACCTCGTAATATTCCCATTTTTGTTTATTCGTTCCAAAAATTTCATGTTATAACAAAGTAACCTATTATTAAAAATTAATTATTTATATCATTTTTTCCATGATTTTAATTTTGTACTTCTCATTACACGTTTTACATTTGACTTCAGTTACTAACCTGCTTTAATGACACGAAAAGTTTAACTAAACAAATTATTACAATTAAGGAACTGGAGCAGGTGGAGGTGTATAATCCCCTTCAACTTTGCATTCTTCTTCCCAATCGTCCGGTATCGTTGGTTTTAAAATGCGAACAAAATCTTCAAGGGGACAAATCGTGGTGCATCCTGGTATAGTCAGAGGGTATGGTTCACGATCAGTTGTATTTCTTAAATATACCTGTGAAAAAAGTATGAAAATAATATAAAATAAATCTTGCACGATATTTATTAACCTATCCTTAATACATAAAACACACGCTTATTTTTCACCTGAACATTCCATCCATCTTTGTTTTCGTGTAATTCGATCATAGTCATGATATTATAATGAGGTAGTTGGTTGTTCCACACATGCAAAGCATCTAACAAAGTTACGACGGTACTATCGTGGCCTACGTACATAAACATTTTCCTTCCTTCAGGTTCTAAACTATTATCTTTCTTATCTAGCATGTCAGTGACAATCTTTTTCAGAAAAGGTCCACCCTTGAATCTCCTGAGAGAATCATTGTACGTGTTAAGTTGAAAGTCATATAATGTCAACGGTAGCAATCGATCAGGATAGTAATCTTCGATCCAGTCAGGAAGAGTTAAATTCATTTGTTCCTAAAATATAAAATTTACAATGCGAATAAAGTACTTTTACGAAGCATTTAGATGTTATAAAAGGTAATGCGCACCTCTGCCATTAACGTTGCGTAAAGTGAACTGACATCATCGGGAGTCGAAATTACCATACCCGTTAAGTTCGTCAATTCTTCGTACAATTGTTTGTTATCGTTTTGAACTTTTTGAATCTCTGGTAAACTCATTATTGCGTGTCGAAGCTTGGTGTATTTCGGACAAGTATCCCAAATTAACATCAACTATAGAGATACAGCGTATAGAAATTAAGGATGATACAAATTTGAAATGAAATTAATTCATCTTATAAAACAAAATACAGACTGTATCTTCTGACCGCGGCTGATAAAATAGGGTAACGGGTTGCCATGGTAGATCAGGCTTGAACGATTGCTTTTCGTTTGGTTTCCACAAAGCTGCTGCTTCTAGCAATGCAGACATTTTTGTACGATCCACTGCGGTACATTGCAAATAAAATATGTCGGGATTATATATCGAACCCAGGAAATCGTCGTATCGATCTCTCAGAAAAAGGCCTTGATTGTACTGACTCCTTCTTCCCTCCTATACAGAAATTTTAATTTGTAGAGTCAAATCAAATAATATTAATACGTTGAAGAAAAAAGTCGAACAAAGTAGTACGTTTGTCAGTTGACCCCAACCATAAGGTTCCATCGAACTGTTCGCATAAGGGTCATTTGGGTAGGTATCCTGCGGTGCCCTTTCCCCATGTCTCATTACCTAAACATAAATTTCGATTATTTTTACAATTATTAAAAGAGAATAATAACTATTGATATAAGAAACAAATGTATTCAGCGCGTGATCATCGCGTTATCGTTGTCTCTAATACACAGATTAAGTTATAAAGTAACACAAGACACTTACTTCCAACAAAGTGCCTTTATTGAATACGCGATAACGTTAATCCAATTGCAAATACGTCTAACCGAATATAAAGACATGTCAAACTTCATATGAAAAAAATATATAATTCTTTTAATGTTAGCAAGACAAAGTCAGGCAAGATTACGAGACAAGACAAAGTCAATTCATTCTGTACTTACTATTGTTACTAATCGAAGAGTAGTGTCGCGGGCTTTCTTATCATCTTTTTCGTGATTGGTTGCGGCGTCTTCAATTGGCACAGGCGACCCTACAAATCGAGAAAGTATGATACTTTATATGACAATTCCAAGGACATTGGTGAAATTAAATACTCGCGTCTGTTGAAATAGTCACAGCAGCAGAGATCGCTATGTTATTCTGAATTTGATCCTTCCGTCGTTATTTAGAGGTCGTGATCGCTTTTTTTCTACATTTAACAGGAGGAGAAAATCAATTACCTAACGTTAGGTAGACAACGCTCGAAAGAAGCAGGAATTTAAGAATTATCATTATCGAGAATTTGTCAAGTAGAAGTTTTTCGAGAACCGCTTTCCATTTACCAGTGAACTTGGACGAGTTGTAACACGTGCGGAACGAGCGCGTACTGAGGCCTTAAGAAGTATCACCAGATAAATTCTATGCCCCCACCATACGAGAAGCAGTATTATACAATATAATGTTACTTGTGTCAAGACTGTTATATACTCGAGCGTCCAACATTTATTCTATTGATGTTAGCGATGCTGCAAGATATATAAATGATATAACTCGCATACGCGTTCATTCTAGTCCTTCGCGTGTTGATCAATGCCTTATAGTACCTGGAAAAAAGTACGAGTTAGTAAAATATTAACAAAAATTCTTATAATAAGTGTTAGGTGGAATTAAGATTCACAATTCGATTAAACAGATATTCTATATAATCCAATCATATTACAGTCTTCATTATTTTAATTGGACATTTTAATTGCATAAAGGAAGTGACAATTAAACAGTTATGCAACGAGTTGGTTGACTTGCAATAATTTTTGTTTTCATCCTGTACATCAAAATTTATTATCGAACTTTATGTACTAACAATGGTTTGCTCGACAGGACAGGAAAATTGGAGCAATTGCTATCCTTGAACGTGCGCGATTGTAGAAGTCATTCAAAATATCGTTCTGACACGTTTAAAATTCATATAACCGATGACTCATCATGCGTACTACATCGAATCGTTACAGGAAAACCGTATAACTTTCAGGAAACAAAAAAGAACAAAAAATATTCGAAACGTTACAAAACTTGTTCTTAATGAGATGCGAATATAGTTACAGCATGACAATAAGAATTAATCAAGCATTAGTCAAGCATATTAAAAGGACACGTAATAATACTTAATCGCACAAGTTATGACAATTATATAATTCCTCGTTAGTAATCGTTATCTCTTCCTTTTTCAACGTCAATTCGTAATTCGGAAGCGGAAAAGTTGTAATCAAGAAATACCAAAATTAATTTCTTCAGCTTAAATTAAATATCGACTAAATGTATTTTAATTATCGCGGTACTTTATAAATGCGAAAAACATATAGATGGAAAAACCATTCGAATCTACAAAAGAGCTTGACTACTCTCGTTTTGACGAACTTTTTTTGGAGTCAGTCTCTTGTCACTTTTTATTGTCAGGGCAACGAGAAATCAAGTCGTTCAATTGTTTTATCGAAATATCTTCCAACCATCGTTGATACTAGTTCTTACAAGTATTTACGAGTCTTGATTTCCTTTAACGCGATCCACGGGCTCTCAAGAGAAATTCTAGGAATAGACTCACGCATGTGAGTATATACGCTGAGGCAAAAACCCGTCGAAGAAGCGGATTCAGTGGAAGAACCTGAGCTCGTTTGTACGTAAACCGCTTCAGCCGTGGATCGCATAAACGAGGGTGGTCAAACGGCGGTGTCGAAGCCCCGAAAGTCCCGTCACAAGAAGCCAAAAAACGCTAGCGCCAATTCCAAGGTCTCTTTTCAATTTTCTCTATAAAAAATCTATAAAAATGCTTCGACGAGCAAAGAAACGTACTCCCGTATCTTACGCAAATCTCTCGAATAATTCTATCTTTTCGCAATATAAATCGAAGGCAAAAGCTATGGCAACTCCTTGCGGCGAGTACCGAAAAGAGATCCAGAAGTGTAACGCACAGACAGGGACACAGGCGACGAATCAACCGCCGTGTTCCATGCCAGCGATTCAGAATCAAACTAGCTCGACACCCCCAATGCGACCAAGATCTCTCTACACGGCGCATAGTTATCACGCGCAAACAGAAGAAACTAACTTTCAGGTAGTTCAAGCATTTTGGACGTTAGCTATTCGTTTCAGAAATTAACATTAATTTATCGTTTCCCTTTGAGTCGTAAAACATAATCTCCATCATGAATTTACTATTTCCTTTTTAGCGGTACAGTGAATTTTCCAAGTACTTCGAAGCACCTCCGTCGGAACAATGGGGCGGATTAGCTAGCGCAACAGCATTCTCTAATTCAACAGCGCTTTGGCGGCACCCTCGAAACTCTAAAACTATCGCACCTTACTACGAAGAGACGTCCGTCTACGCGGAGAATTGGAGGGAACACAATACCGATGCTGCTATAGTTGCCACGCCATACGGAACCATTTCCTTGAGACTTCACAATAGGATCTGTGTCGATATGACGATTGATCGTGCGGTCAGAGTTATCAATTTCAAGGTATCTCCTTTTTTTCTGCTTTACAATGAAATTTCTTTCCCGACTCCTGTACGATCATCGACAAGACCTCTACACAGAAAAAAAAACATCTAAATGAACGAGGCAAATTTACATTCATATTCATGAATATAAAAAAACTATTCTCGGCACTTACATGATTCTTATCTGAGTTGCATTTATCGTCAGCGTAGAATAACATCGTGCTATCGTTAAGCGGTTCTGGAGCAGCTGCGGCATTACTACACCCTAATGGAAGAATATATCAGTACGGATCGCGAGTCGAAATCTTGGCTCACGATGCTCACGGCAACAACAAGTTAGTGGCATCTGTAAACATCGTTAAAGTACTATTAACAAATATTCTCATCTTTCGTTAGATACGCGAAGATGTGGTATAAAGGTGTCAGCTTCACTTCGGAACAGTGCGCCCTTGTATATTTAGTGGATACAGCAGGAACAAGAACGACCACGGACTCGTTTTCTGATATGAGTCAGGTAGAGTAACGGAAATGTATTTTTACTAGACGTCGTTGTTTGTATTTAAACAAAATATTTAACGTGGTCGATGCTAACGTCGGAGTATCTTACTCGAAGGATACAGCTTACAGCCAGAACCTTTAGTTAGTATCAACCATGAAGAAAGTGAAAGTCTTAAATATCTTAAAATATTTCAATTTTAGGATTTCTCTCTAAGCGTTTTTTACTCTCGTTCGCGGCATGGTCCAGCATGCTTACAAGAAGCAGCAGCGGCTTTGAGCGCAGCTCAGTATTGGTTGACCAACGAAGGCGTAGAAAATTGGATCATTAATAACGTTAGAGTCTCTCAAACCCCTGATGGTCTCGTTAGGTATTTCAATTAATACTACAATTCCAAAACGTTAGACTAGCAAACTGTAAGCAGATAAAAATTTCAAATTTATTTTCCAATAGGATCGCACGGAACAGTAATAAATATCAATTACGCACGTCGCCTAGTAATGGAACGGCTTCGTTAACGACACCATTTTTACATTGCACCGCTTCCCTTGGTCAAACATCTCATCTTTTTGTGCGTCGCGGCGAACGACGAATGCATTACGACGGGACTAGTTTTATCGTACGAAACGCGGGTCACAGTGCTGGATTTGATGACAACAATCAACTAAAAGTTTACTAAGAAATCCTAACGTGAACTCATTGCCGTGAGCTTAATCAAGGTTTACGCAATTATCGCATCCAGTATATAGATTCACTTTTAACGTCGTAAAATATACATACAGCTACGTGGAAACGAAAAGTTACTCCTTTGGAACTAATCTCTGATAAAGTGACCTAACGCCCGAAACCTACAATACATTATCCCCAGTTTTGAAGTTCAGAAATTTACTTTAATTCCACTTTAAGCATGTTCAGTAATTTAATTGTATTAACTTCATTTAGAGCCTGTGCAAAACAGCTACAATGAGATAGAGTACAACGTATTCTATAAACGGTTTTTTTAAATTTGGAACGATTGATACTTTCACTGACTTGTTCCTTATAATTATTTTGTACTCTTCCTAATAAAACTTAAATACAAACACCATCCGTCGAGTATAGTTTCTGTACAACTTATTAAAAGTAAACAAAACTAAAACGATTTATTCAATAATGCAAGATTACACTTACAGACGAAAGATGTATACTTCATTCTTTTTTTTTTTTTTTTTTCTTTAATCTGAATCTTCTAGTAAATCGGAATCTTCGAGATCTAATATTTCCGTTTCAGACTCATTCGGATCCGTTTGAAATTCATCGTCAATTAGCGACCGTACTTTGCGTTTACAAATACCTTTCCTACAAATTAATAAAAATAATCAAAATAAGAAATGTTTTTTTAATATGTATATACATACATTTGAGATGACTTCTTATATTCCTCTTTTGAAGTCGAAGCGCTAGAAGTCTTTTCGTTGCCGTACGCATTTTTCATCTGGTTATTTCTTTTCTGTTCTTCAAAGTCCTGAATATCGTTAATAATTTCTTCCGCGATGTCCGCTTTAAATAGATTTAAACTAACGGTTGATTTACTTTGCGATACCAATGCTTGTTTCTTTTTTTCATAAGCTTTGCTTAATTCATCTATCTTTGACAACATTGGATGTTTATCTGTTAAATCCTTCAGAGTTGGTAGCACAGAGTATGGATTGAAGGATTGTGACTCTTTAATGCGATATTGTTTTTCTAGGCCAAACTAAAAGCAAAAAATCATTTATAAACTTTATAAGCTACCAAGTGTATTGAAAATTTTTAAACTCACCTCTTTATCAAATATACAAAAATGAAATGCATTATCTGCTATTAGTTTAGATAATATATAATTGGCATCCAAATGTTCCGCCTCTTTTATTTCTGCGTGCAACTCCATAATGCTTCGCCAATCGTCCAGTTTAACTCTAATTTTGAACAGGTCCACCGGCATTTTATAATATACTCCATACAAAAGATACAATCCTCCAACGCGTTCTTTAAAACGCGGGGGTAAAAGAAGGAATTTTTTACATACATTCAAAGCCTCCTCGCAAAATTCACACAATTCTATATACGAAGGACGCCCGCTAGAAGTGCAAAGAATATATAAATCATAAATAATAAGTTATCACGTCTTTAAAAAAGCAATCATTATTTACCACGTTCTAAAGTTCAATATACGTGGTGAAAATCCGATTGTTTGGTACAAGTATAAAAACTTACGTAAACACCAGTGAGAATTTCAACTCTTTCCAGATCTCGCAAAAAGTTTGAAATCTGATATCGTTCCCCTGTTCGAAACAAGCGATTAGTCGTTCGCAATCTTCTTTGAAACCGCTCAAAATTAGAGACTTGCTCGCTGCCATTTATATGTTTGTAAACACACAGCTATTGTTATGGTTAATAGTTGCAACGATAACGTGGTAGTTTATAAAGTTATTCGTTACTTTGATCTTCGCTATGGACAAAATTTAAAGTTCGTTTGCATCCGAAAACATTTGTAATCACGAATGATCACAAATGCCAGATTAAAGAAGATTATGGTCGCATTCGATCGCACGGCGCAAAGAATTTTTCCTTTCTACGAATACAAACAAAGCTTCTCATAACCTTGTGTCTGTGTGTGACGAAGGTAAACAGGTAGTACAGGTAGAGAAAGAAAAAGAGAGAGAAGTCTAATAGGTAACCTCTGATTAAAGGTTACAACGTTTAGATAATGGGAGTTTCCAGAAGGACCACCGCTCACTGAGCGGGGTTTAGTACCAGTGGCGCCATCGGTAGGAAAATTTCCAAGTTTGTAGTAAAAATAGTACCCACCATTTCTGTAAGATGGGGCCACTAATATTTTATTTATTTATTTATTTAATGTGCCTGAGATCAAAAGCCTCACCTTGCACCACAAAATGAAAATTATCCCACTGGTACTAAAACTGGTATGAATCAGTTCGGAGCGAGCTTTTTCACCACCGATCTCATTCCTTCAAATCGTAATTCCTCATTAATAATTAACTGCTGATTTTACAAAATTTTATTGAGCGATAGTATGGTACAAAAGAAAGAATATATATGTATATATATTCTTCTTTTGAAATTATATTTTGCCACGACAGTGTATTAATAATCGTACAAGTGTATGATACATATGAATAATGTAAAAGCATAATCAAAGTGTTTTATCGATCTGTTTCCCTGTCGCATAGTGTTTAGAAATTTTTCAAATTTACTAACCACTCTCATAATTCCACACGACATTTCAGTATATAGATCATAGTGCGGAAAAACTTAATATTTAAGGTGTAAGACGTTTAGGATCACGAGGGAACATTGAAACTTTTCTGATGTTGTCTAAACCAAGGTACAACATAACGACACGCTCTAAGCCAATTCCGCCACCGGCATGAGGAGGGCAACCATACCTGAACGCGTCGATGTAGGCTTTGATCTTTTCCAAGTCTAAAATATTCAAAGAATGAAATTATACTCGAAACAATTATACTCGAACTGGAAAAATACATATGTCAGAAGTCTGTCTAACCAATTCCATGATGTTTCGCGCGTTCCGTTAAAAGTTCAGGATCGTGTATACGTTGCGCGCCAGAAATAATTTCTTCGCCGCGCATAAACATGTCGTAAGAATTCGATGTTTTCTGAAATGAATATATTATGGTATACATTTGACAAGAGATTGAAATAAATTGTACACTTACCGGATTGTTCGGATCTGGCATAGTGTAGAACGGTCTTACTGCCAATGGATACTTGTCTAAAATGTAAAAGTCGGTGTCGTACTGAAAAAAGAAATACCATGAAAAATCAATTACCATGATACCATGTTATCAACAATTTTTTCACAGATGTGGATGGACACTCACCTTTGCCTTTACAAGTTTACCCAGCAGTTTTTCATCTGGAGTAGACAAATCGTCTTCTTCGCCCAAAGTTACTCCAGCTTCCGCCAATAATTTAATCGCGTCGCTGAATTCTAATATCAAGGGTGGGTCTAAGAATTCGAAAGGCTCTACATTGTATTGTTGACGTACAGCCTCGATATCAGCAGCATAACTGAAATTATGCGATACAATTATATCTGCAGAAGATTCATCCTGTTAATTTTCATATCAATTAGAAATTTTTACTAACTTATCGCGAAGACCTTTAAACATCTCTGTAAATAACTGTCCGATAGTATCGACTACTTCGTGATAATGATATTTAAATGCCATTTCTAAGTCGAGACCAACGAATTCTGTTAAGTGCCTGTGCGTGTTAGAATCTTCAGCTCTAAAAACTAAAAAATTATCATATCATATAATCGCAGAACAATGGCGCCATGTTCTGTAGGACATTTAAATAAACAATTCAATTTAAAAATATTGCATTACCTGCTCCTACAGTAAAAACCTTGTCGAAATCAGCCGCTATAGCCATTTGCTTGTAGAGCTGAGGAGACTGAGCTAGATAAGCGTTTCCCTTAAAATATGACACTGTGAAAACGTTTGCTCCGCCTTCGCTTGCCGCGGATATAATTTTCGGTGTATGAATCTCGACGAAACCCTACGAATAAAACACTAATTAAATAAATTATTTTAAGTACATAATAAAATTTGAGAACAACTTACTTTACTTGTAAGGATGTCTCTAAATAATTTACAAACAGCTGCTTCAACTCTATATATGGCCTGGTTTGCTGGAGTTCTTAAATCCAAAACTCTGTTGTCTAATCTAGTGTCTTGATTCACTTTTATATTAAGAGCATTGTCGTCCGTTTCTCCCACAGGCCTAGAGGCATCTTCAATTTGTAAAGGTAATTGTGGTTTTGCAGCGCTTACAACAAATATTTTTTCAACGTGAACCTCTACATCTTTCTGTGTACATGATTCAATTTTAGAAGGTACACGTTTCACAACTGCCTCTACGTCCACAATGGATTCTTTGGTAATACTACAAGATTACTGTGTTAAATACAAAACGATATTAATTCTATAACTAACTCTTGTAACTTACTTCGATATAAACTTGATCATCTGCTTACTGATCTTTTCATTTACTGCAGCTAACCCCTGTACAGTGTATGACTGCTGTCTTAGAACAATAAAACATTGTTTGCCTGCAAAGAACAATTCGTATTCGATAAAGTATTAATAACGAATGAATAACATTTAAAATTTAATTTTTTTTTCTAGATGACATACCTTTAGCACGACTAGTATGTAAACGTCCTCTTACCCATACAGTTTGATTTTCCAAACTTGGTACTAAATTTTTAACATCAGTAAATATTCTCTCTGGATTTTTCTCTTTACTTTGTATCAATCCTGTATCTCCATAGTTTCCAACCGACAGATCTTCTTCTTCGTTCACATTTTGTTGCGCTTGCTATGTTCACAATTCAGATATATTATTGTAAAATAAAATTCATTAGATAAAAATACACAAACAATCAATATTTTGCAACATACAGTTCAGCTTACATTTTGAGCTTTACGTTCAGCTTTCTTTGCTGCCTTCTCTGCCTCTTTCTGTTGCTTCTTAAGAGCTTTCTTAGAAGGTTCATCTCTTTACAAAAAATATATCTTTAAAATAGAATTCAAATTTATAAAATTTCCAAAGAAATATCGTTTATCTTACCCTCCTACAGTGGGATCTACAGGTTTATCCTCTCCCATCTATAAAAATGGTGCAATAAACATGTTAGTTACACGAAACACAATACAGTATCATACAAAAAATGTGTGATATTATTTTAATATACACATATGAATAAAATTAGCGAACCCCATTGTATTATGAACAATCATTTTATGTCAAATACATATGGAAACGCTGAAAATAAAGGTTATTTGAGGTTATCGTGATCTACAAATTTTATTTTAACGATACGCACCTTTATTTCGACTCAATACGTTTTTATTTCTCCTGTATCTAAATTTATAGAGGTTATTTAATACAATTACACACTAGTCTCAAATTTAGCAGACCGCAGCCCGTAACTCGAAGTAAATTCTAAAATTGCCTGGATTTTATCTTTTTCGCGAATCTTTAGATAAATGAAGATAAACGAAGACAAAGTACTGTAACATATGTAATAATTTCAGAGTACAGTTTATCTTTGGTAAACGTGACTAAATAAAGATAATATTTTTTTCAATAAATCGCACAGTATAAAATATTGTATACAAAATTATAATAAACTTTGTTTGATCTGTAACATTATATGGGAAAAATATACATATATTTCATATTATTTTATACAAAAATAAAATGTAAATTATTTTCACACGGAAATTTTATGAATATATTAAGAAGGTTTGAAAGGACGACTTTAAACTATGTTTTATTCACCTACGTCGATAACGTAGAGACCAAAATTAATTAAAATTTCGATGAGTTATATTTTTTTTTATCATCAAAATGCTCGCAGAAGTATACAACAGTAGGATTTGGATAAGGATTACGATAGAAAAGACGAGCTCGCATCGCAAGATCTCCTCAAACCTTTTTAAGTATTTAATTCAAGAAACTATCATTTTTGCCCCATTGTCCGCTGAATCCAATAAAACGGACATTTGTTCTTCCGAAGATACCGATGCAGCTTGGATAAACGGCTTTTCGTCAATTGTCACTGTTGATTGACGATCAGCTTTTAAAGATTTGACCGCGCTTTCTGTAGTATTATTCCAGTTTTTCCAGCCCATCCCTTCACGACCTGAAAACACACGAGCTCGAGATTTGCGAGCGAGCATCATCGCAGCGTACACCATAAAGAGGGGATCAAATATAGGTGCAATGATACTTTGTATCTAAAAACATCTAATCAATCTTATTGACAATATCTTTTCGTATCTACATGTGTAACATTGAAAATCATTTTGCGCTGTATAACATTGTGGGAAGATATACGTATAGGAAAATTTCACGTTGCCTTTTTATTTCTTACTTTTCAATTTGTCTGACGAATCGTCGAACGATGGATCTTGAATGTTCAGCATTAGATTGTTACCGCTAAGGAATATACGATTTGGAGAGGTAGCAATCTGAAACGAAAGTTATATTTATAATTAGACTCGTATTAACGTTAACCATTTATTAGTAGGTAACTCAGAATATTTGTGTAATTACCGTTCGGGAAATAGCTTGTGCTGCTCGAAGTTTTCGCAGTTTTAAATAACCAGGGTTTTGGCTAACAGCTAAACCTAAGTTCACGGGAGTTAAGGATATTTCTATTTGAAAATGAAGCTAATCTATAGATAAGTTGTTATCTTATACATTTACGACTGTAATTATTTTTAAAGGATATCATTTTAGCCGCTTCCGCTTCACCCTCAGCCTGGACAATCTTTTGCTGTCTTTCCTGTTTTGCTCTCTCCACGACAAAAGCTGCTCTTTGCGCTTCCTGTTGAGCTACTTGCTTAGCTTCTACAGCAGCGGTATATTCTTTACCAAAACTCAATTCGGTTATGGATACATCATCTAAGACAATATTGAAATCACGCGCACGTTCGGTTAATTCTTTTCGTACCATGTTTGAGACCTGTTGTCTCTGTGTAATAAGCTGAGAAGCATTGAACTTAGCGACAACTGATTTTAATACTTCGTTACAAATGCTTGGCAAAACCTAAAACACAATTGCCTTTGTTAATAAAATTATAATAAGATAATGTTACAATAAGATTCATACCAACCTTCTCGTCGTAATCAAGACCTAAATTACGGTACATTGTGGGTAATGTGCTGGCATCAGGTCTGGAAAGTACTCGAAGAGAAATATTGACCATTTGCAAGTCTTTGGATCCTGTAGGCGAGGATATTTTTCTAGGCCTACTCCTGATGTCATAAATAATCGGGTAATGGAACCATGGAAGTCGGAAATGTAGACCCTCGGTCATGATGTCTTTTTGAATGCCTCCCAAACGAGAAAACATTATCGCTCTATGACCAGCCTCCACTGAAACGAAACAATTATAAATTCAAACATATCTAGAAACAACCTTTAATTTAAAGGTTGTCGTTTCGAGTATTACTTTCAATTTTAAGATCATTTCCAATGAAATAATTTGAATTCAAATTTCTTTCTACGAGACGTAATGTTGATCGTGACGTGCAAACAATTTTTAAGAATATAGTAACCGGCTTCAGAAGTACTTTTATTAACAACAATAATTAAACGTAATTGATAGAATGTAAAAAGGAAATTAACCTGTGTACATGGATTTCGTAACACCATAAACCGCCACGCCGGCCGCTGCAAGGAACTTAAACCCAAAGGACAGTCCATTTGGATTTTTTGCAAAACGTGATGCAAATTCGTTAATTTTATTCTGTGCCATTATTAATTACGATTATGTGTCGCTAAGGCAAGTTAAAGATCGACGATTCCCAATCAACTACGTTGTTAACGTGGTTGAAATTAAAGATACAATCAAAAAAAGTGTCTTTGCCTTGCTCCGATTGAAAATGAAGACCATGAAATGCACGACACTGATCCACAAAGAAGAAACACCAGATGGAACTTTCTATGGACCTAGGATCATATATATTCCTATAGAATCCATACTCTGTTATAGATCCATGGCTCACCATGTTCAATCACGATTAAGTCTTGTTTTCAAAATATGATGTTTTCCAACGTATACAGGGTGTCTAAAAAATGTTGTAACACCTTGAAAGGGGTGATTCGGGAGGTGATTTGAAGCAACTTTTTTCTTAGCGAAAATGTTGTCCGAGGCTTCGTTAAGCAGATATTAACAAAAATTCCCGACCAATCAGAGCGCGCGTATACCGTTGGAGCGACTAGGCGTCCACGCTCATACGCTACCGCGTGCGCTCTAATTGGTCGATGCTTTCTCTTAATATCTCCTTAACGAAACCTCGGACAACATTTTCGCGAAGGAAAAAGTTGTTTCAAATCACCTCCTGAACCACCCCTTTCAAGGTGTTACAAAATTTTTGGGACACCCAGTACGTTTTCATTCGACTCGTTCAAAATAGTAATTGATTACTTGTATCCTTTTTGTATAAGAAAACAATGAAAATAAACAAAGTATCTTTCGCCACATTTTCCCAATTTTCCTATTCATTACATTTTTCGAAAACAACTTGCGAAGTATTAATTTTTCGAAAATTGTTCAGGGTTGCTTTTTTCTAGAAAATTAAATTATCTACAAAAAATTTTCTACACAAATTATCATAAAATCGATCTTTTCGCAAATATTCGACAATTTAGTTTTTTTTTTACGTATCTGAAATTTTAGAAAATTAGTTTTCCCTAATAGCTAATAAAATTTCAATTTTGAATGTATCTCAAATGGAAAATCGTATTTTTTGATGATTCAAGTCTGTAATTGAAATTAAAAACTTTATCTCGAACGAAAATTTTTGTTTTATCACCTGCTGTGTATCAATTTTTCAATCAACACTTGACAAAAAAAGATGTTGCTGTAAAGTGACATACCTTTGGCGTATTTGCTTATTTACTTATATAGTCAAAGATACATACAGGCTAATTTAAAAACATTCGTGAATTTGACAAGTGTATTTACCCACATTTGAAAGTAGGTATCGAGCATAAATAAGATCGAAGCAGCCAGGTATAGAAATTGACAGAAATAAAAAACATGGCGTTGTGTTATACGAGGTAGTAAAGTGTCTTAATTTTTTATTCTACTTAATTGGTTTCAATAACGCAGACAATGCAAATTCATCTATTCTAGGCTGCTATGTCGACGAAACATCGATCTCCGCAATTTTCGGAGTTTATACACCTCCAGGTGATGTGTTACATAATATATAACCTCTTCATTTTATTCGAGTGTCATTTAAGTTTTATTTCAGAATTTATAATTTATTTTTCTATACCAATTAAATCATCACTCGAGCGTCGAAATATTTCGAAATTAACTCAATCTTAAATATAGAATATTTAATATAGAAGTTATTAAAATGAATTCTTTAGCCCACATAATGTCGCTATTTCGAAACCACTGTGTATGGGAAGTGCCGTTTGTGAAACTCACGACGAGAAGAATGCACGCCTCAAGCGGCCTATGTCTCCCCATTTGTCTATTTATCAGAAACAATTAACAGCGTTACTATCGGTAACACATCGCACAACAGGGATCATACTAGCAACTTATGCTATGACGCTTGGTTTAGGTAAGATTGTGCTTTATTCTGAGTAAAAATGAATGAAAAAGCAATTTGTTATTAAAATGAGTGACATCTTATCTTACCACAGGAACCCTGCTCATCCCTGGAGGTATACCTTGCCTTATCGAAATGACTCAGGAGCTAGGTTTGTCTGCTCCTCTTCTTTTCCTGGGAAAAACTGCATTAGCTCTTCCTGCCACATATCACACATTTAATGGGTTCCGACACTTGGTAAAATATTTAATAATTCTCAATAATATTATTGTCTTTTTAATACATGGTTTCTTTCATTTGCTGTTTAAATTTGCAGGCTTGGGATTTGGGAAAATTCCTTACAATTAAAGAAGTATACAGCACTGGCTATGCAGTGACTGCTTTATCTGTAGCATCTGCTATTCTTCTTGCTGTATTGTAAGTCTAAATGATTACATTGCTACATTGTGATACAATTTTCATTCAAAATTCATTGTATTATCAAGTCAACAAGGTTTAACTGTGTTAAATCTAGAATAAAATACTTTGTTAGATGGTACCGTCAATTAATTTATAATTGATAAATATAACACAATCTAGAAATGCGTGTACGAATTCATTAAAAACGTTTATTTATGTTTGAATAGTTAGCCTAAGTACGTTTAAGTATGCCAATAAATACATCACTCAAAACACTCGAGAGACGAATCGATAAATTTTTTATAAATTGCCATAAAGCGAGCAACAAATGCTTCTAAATGAAAAATCGGTTTGGACCCTTTACGCATCTTATGTTCGTACTCGGCTGCAACTGTTGCGATTTCAATTTTTAATTGCAAATCGCAATTTTTTATACATTCTTGTAGAAGACCCTTAAATATTAAATCGCACGGTATAGCGTGGGTCAATAATTCGTAAAGTCTATTGCGTATTTCGAGAAGTTTTTTCGGGCTTTGTTCGCTGACCATCATGTTAGCCGTATTTCGAATGTACACTTGCCAGTCAGGTTCCGTAATTTTCTGATCTTCTGTAAATGGGTACCTGGAAGTGAAATTAACACGTAAAAGATTGTAGTTTGCCCAATTTTCGTATTTGTAGCTCTACCTACTGTTCGACTTTGCACGCTTCAAGCATCAATATCGCTCGTCTCAGGTTCCTACCACTCGTTTCAGCCAATCTAACAGCTAATTTATCGGGTAAAGTTAAACCTTCGCGCTTACAAACCGAGTGTAAAATATTTTTTATATCTAATATCGATGGAGCTGGTACTCTGATTCCTAAACATCGAGACCTTATCGCTGGCAGCACCCGCGATGTAGAATTTGCGCAAAGTATCAATCTACACGTAGCAACATACTTTTCCATTGTTCTTCTAAGGGCATGCTGAGCATCTTTAGTAAGTTCGTCGACGTTAGTCAGCAGTACCACTAATATAAAATTTTGAAATCGATAATTGAACATTCAAAAATATAAGGTAATAATAAAAAGCAATATTTAATTATTTACCTTTGAATTCTCTTTGTCCATTTGAATCTATTTGATGAGTTTGAGCTGTTGTTTTTACTAAATCCATCACAACAACTCTATCGTATATGCCCACATCGCTAGGATTCACCTCTATATGATAGTTGCTACTTATTGTTGTTATTTCTAGCTTCTTCTTGGATGGTGTCTAAACAATATTAATGTTAATTTTATACATAATCAAATAGCATAAAAAGGAGTATTCTTGCAAAGCAAAATGTAACACCTCGAAATGCATAGTTTCCATCCTTAGTCTCTCTGCTCCACTTCCATATAATTCTCGTATGATGCACATTATACGAGTCTTCTTCCCTGCACCTGGTGGACCATATACTAATAAATGTGGAAAATCTCCCTTCTTTACCTAAAACAAAACACTGAGTTAATTGAATAAAGGTAAATGTTTCCTTCCAATTACAGATAATAAATATGTTACGACAAATAACGGAAACTTTTCCGTATAACCTTTCTTTAAATTCTCTTATATTCAGACAGATGTAATTACCATATTTTTCAAATATTCTGCTTGTTCCGTGTGATAATCCAATTTCCCGAGCGTTGTCGGGCGATATTTATCCACCCAAAGACTCATTTTCGATCAAAAATAGTTAAAAAATTTAGCGTTACCAAGATTTGTTTACTTAGAAATTACCGAGCATCATATTATAAATACCATATTTACATTTTAAACATTCATATTGTACAGAAATAACAAATTTTCATAAAATATATTTTAAAATAAATACTAATAATACTAGTAACCTCTACAGGCTCGTGAAAGTAAAGATAACGATTTCAAAAACGCGCGAAACCATAGTGAGCGTACGGAAAAATCACCGCTCATTGAGCGGCTAGTGAGCTGGTTTTGTGGGGACGTGCCTTAAGGCTCTACCCCCACGCCTCCGCTCTCCTCGCGGATTGTGAGAGGGGAGTACGCTCCACGCGGGTTTTGCCGGGAAGCCCAGAGCTTTGTGAACCTTGTAGAAAGTAGGAAGAAAGTAAAGAGAGTTATCCTGAGTACTGAGATTCGTCATTTACATCATCCTTCCACGGCTGATCTATCAGGAATGGACCTGAACACAGTTCCAATATCTGTGATTACCCTACAGTTTTAATACCAGTGGCGCCATCGGTGGGAAAACGCCCAAGTTTGTAGTGAAAATAGTTTCCACTAGTGTTGCTAGGTGGCGCCAGTAACGAACTTTCATCAATGTCCGTTATCGCCATCTAGCATCAACAATAGAAACTAACTTTGCTATAAACTTTGGCGTTCTTCCACCGATGGCGCCACTAGTATTAAGTCCAATATTAGTATTGGTCAATGATTACCAATGAATGATTACAAGTTACCAAAGAACAGTACTTAGCTATGTTTGAGAAGGAAAAAATTTCTAAGCTCACCCTGCTCGCTGTACCCTAACTTAGCTTTTATTTGTATGTTCCATTATACAATAAGTGCTTACTTTTTCATCAAAAGCTAACACACTTTGGTAAATACAATAAGTCATTGTACGAATTAGATTAGTATTATCCATAACGAAACGATTACATACTAAAAAGTACATATATTTTGTATAAAAATGAAATTACACACAAAATAATCTAAATTACGAGATTTCCAAGGTTATTACTAATGATAATGGCAGTGAGTTGGTTCTAACAATGCACGTTGATAATGAATGTATCGAACAATGAAAATTCCTATAACTGTAATTGTTTGATAAACTGTATCAAACCTGATTTCGGAATGAAATTGGAGAAGATAGTTCCTTAAAGGTTTAAAAATGCAAGTACATATACAATGTAAACAAGGCTGGCACCAGCTAGAATCACTAGCACTTCAACACAACTTTAACAAAATGTAATCCATAATTAATGATTACCAGAAGAGAAACCATAACATTTTCATCAGTCTCTACTTTATCCATTTGTATGAAAAGCTACCATTCACATATGATAATTGTATTTTCTTTGTTCATTTTTTAAATTTTACGTTTCAATTGATTTTCGTAGAGGCATTCCGATGCGATGCATCGGTTGCTTTCACGCATAAAGTCAGCCCTGAATGTAAACTACAATAGAACGTTAGAATAATTTGTTTCAGACTTCGTTATCACATGCTTTCAACGATATGTACATACAAGATACATATATTGAACAGACTACGTTCGTATTTCAATTGTATAGTGCACCAGTATGTAAATGCTGTTAAATTCACAGAATCATTTTGATTATAGAAAATATATAATATTATCTTGTGTAATTGTTCCGTAAAGCTTGCAACAATTTATAAGTATATTTTCTTAATTTATACAGTGCGAGTGCACCACACGATTAATAATTTTAATACTTTGGATAAATGTATTGTCCGATATCTATCATCCTTTATACACACATGATGACGTTTAAAATTACTACTGTTAACACTTATAACTATGCTCGTGGAAAATTATATGGCCAATGGATGAAACAAACAGCTATAAACTGCGTTCGTGAACGATACGACAGGAAAATATTTATTCCGTTGTCTCTATTAGGAGCCATATTAGACGAATGTTTGCATCGTCTTAACTGTATCTCATTTGCTTTTAGAGAAAGCCATCGAGACACTTCTATATCGTTATCTTTCTAAAATATTTAGCTGTGGCTGCTATATTAAGAATGAGAGATATTATCCTCGATATATCGGAATACATCGACTTAATATATGCTTATACCCAAACACCGTGTGGATTTTTGCTCGTAGGTACCGCGGTTTCTAATTGTCTCGGAGAACCTATCATTTTACGTGTACTTCCAGGCTTGTGAGCACCTAAGTAAAGAATATACATAAAAATATTAGCGAATCAATCACAGTTTTAATTTATATTTATAACTACAATTCGAGTACCTTCCAGCAACGACTTGACTTGTTCATCTTGACAAGCGACAGCTAGACTTTGTAAATTAGCTTCTTTCATGTCGGCTACCAGTCGTTCGACTTGCAATTTTTTTTCGACGATCGCCGATTCCAAACTTACTACTTCAAGTTTCAATGATTCCGCGCATTGAGAAGCTAATTCGGCCGAACGTTTAGCTTGTTCAACCTCATTCTGAAGATGCTCGACTTCGCTGATGATTTTACGCTCCATTATTTGCCTTTCGTCCGTTTCACGACTTATATTATGCTGCTCTATAGCAAGTTCTTCCATAACTAATCTATAGTACAGAGGAATAAAATCAATGTTATGTCATACATTTAATTAAACATAAGCGAAATAATAATGTTTTACCTAATTTTATTTTTACACTGAAGTAACTCTGTTTCACAATTCGCAAGTTTCGATCTTAGCAAAGTGATTTCCGATTTTAAAGTTTTTTCTTGTTGTCGAACTATTTCACTTTCTTCTTCCACGTGTGCCAGTTCTTTCAGCTATAAAAATAACGAGCGTTATCGCAAATATGGTAACGGAAAACGTACCTCGGCTGGGTTTAAAATACGTGCCTGTTCTTCGATAAGGCGACCCGTAGATTCCATGCGACTTACTTCCTGAGAAATAAAATCCATCTGATGCATTTGCTCCCTATTCTTAGTTTCCCAATATAATATTTCAGCATCAAACTGAAAACCAGTGATTAAGTATATTTCATCCAAGTTTTTATATATTACTAAGACAACCCTTCGTACTTTAGTAAGATCTGCTTGCTGTGCATTAATAGTATCGCGTTGCTTATTGACTAGTCTGATAAGTTCAACGTATCGTTGAGTATACGCAACAGTAACCATATTTTGTGTCTGACCAGATAACTGATTTACAGATTGTGTTTGTCCTTTTGTATCCTGAAATTCCTAAACATATGAAACTGATTAAGAACTCGAGAATAAATATTGCTCTATAGATTCATAGAAAGCATCTTTTCTGTAGAACCTGAATGAGATTCCTCTTTAGCTTGACAGAGTTACTAGAAGATGGTTGATCCTCTTTGTGAGCATGAGGACTACCGCTATTTGTACTAAATTGAAATTGCGATCTTCCAGGACTATTTAAATTAGGTGGCGGTGGATCCCTGTAGGGGGGTAAAGTTCGTATGGGCGGCGAAGCTGGACCTGGAGGATCCCTATACGGAGGAACTTCACGCACTTTTTTTTGCGATAAATGCGCGTTACTTTCACTGCTGCTAGTACAAGTAGGAGACTGAGCTGGTTTTTGTATATTTTTTCTTATGTTCGATTCCTTATTTTTTAAATGAGGTGTAGGTTGAACTATGGCAACATTTTCCATTTGAATCTATAATACGAGTATAAAATACGATCGATTATTCTACGAGATTTATTCTAAAAAGTGCCAACTGCAACCCAAAAGTTATTTACTTCTGTATTATTTTCCATGACATTTCCATGCAATCCTCCAAACGTCAACGATTTTCTAGTGTCGCGATTCCTATCGAGACATCCTTGTAAATCGTCGAGTTCAGAGTTTGGAACTGTCATGGCACTCTTGGTATCGTCCTGTCCATTATTGGGCGTCGCGGTGTGCTCCGACGCGGAACTTATGAGTCCATTCGATCTTGGACCATGGGACGAACGTGTTCCTAACGATCCGGGAGATTTATTACTCTCCGGTGAAGAACGTCTTAATATTAGCTGCACTTCCGAAGAATATTCTCCCCATTTCATTAGAATCTTTTCAAACAAATTGCAATAGTATTATTAATTGTAACAAAATTAGCGATTATTTTCTATAGAACTCGTATCGATACCTTTAGAGGATTTTCATACGGAGCTAGAAGACGCTCGTTGGTTCGCCATCTTTCTACTAAAGTAAATCTACCTGTTTGTCCAGTAGCATGGGCAAGAGCGTATACTACATCCTGGAAGTTAATTTTATGTATTAATGGTAGGTGAAAACACATGAAAACAGGTGAAAACATTCAAAGAAAAGTAATTCGCATTGAGGTATCGTGCAAAACGATTTGAGTCATAGTTTCATAAAATTATATACGATTCAATGTACGTCTAAAATACTTAAATAAACAGTGCCAACCTGACATGTAGTGGTATCTGTAACACCACATACGATACGTTGTATACCCTCCACCCATACTTTCAGCTCCATAACGTCACCAATTTATAATAACAAGATTAAACATTCGCATCGCAAACCGTTGATACTGAAAAGTTACAAATCACTTGTCAGAGTTAAATTTCAAGTGAATCGTACGTAGGTACGATTTTCGTACGAGAGAAATCACCGATTATTACGTGAGTTTGTCCAACGATTGTTTACAGGATTCGTCGACCAGCGGTGTTGAATCAGTTTCCTTTAACCTGTAACGTGTAATTATTAAAATGACAGATTTACGTCCATGATAACACAGAAGACAGACAAACGCTTTTCTTTGACGTGATAGCAGTATTAAAGCGCTGCTTTGTGAAAAAGTCGAGCTCGTATAATCAGTAACCAATCAGCAGCTTCGCGAAACGAACAGATTTCTATTTATTTTATATTTAGACATAGGTATATGGAAGCGTACATTTTATATATCCTGAACCTGGCAATGTATTTAAGTATCGCTAATAATTTTAAATTAACAGGAAATATCTGGAAATTGAAAGCACGCCGAATTTTTAATTCTGACATACTACGTAAGAGGGAGCTGAAAACGTTTGACGCAGAAACGTTTTGATCCTGTCGAATCTATAGAATACAATAATTTTACTTCTCGTTTACCATCTGTTCACATCTGTTTACCATGCGTACCAGCGACACGTGATAATTGTCATGTGCTTATTATAAATACTGTTTTTGTACATACATTTAGAAAAATAAAGAAGTAGGAATAGCAGAATGCCGAAAGAACGTGTAAAGAAACAGACTCGCATTCATAAGGATGTTGCGAAACAGGGTACGAAGCATTTGCAATATTTTTATAGTCGCTAATTTTATCGCAAAACTAAGTGCTGTTTAAATTAGAAGAACCCAAGCGTACTTAATTTTAATTATAAAACTTGCCTCAATAAAATATATCTCATCTAGCATTTACTATTTTTAAGAGAAAACTTTACTCCGTTACTTTGTATATATCAGGTATTTTGTTCAACACGGATATTGGACAGCACATTTTGAAGAATCCACTTATAATTCAAAGTATGGTAGAAAAAGCTGCTGTAAGACCGACGGATGTGGTATTGGAAATAGGTCCTGGTACCGGTAACATGACTGTGAAACTATTGGACAAATCTAAGAAAGTAATAGCATGCGAGGTGGACACGAGAATGGTAGCTGAATTACAGAAACGCGTGCAAGGTACCCTGTACCAGTCGAAACTGCAGATCATGATAGGAGATGTTTTGAAGACAGAGTTACCATTCTTTGACCTCTGTGTAGCTAATATACCCTATCAAATTTCATCTCCTTTGGTATTTAAATTACTCTTGCACAGGCCATTGTTCAGGTAATTTGAATCAATAACAAATTTAAAGTAACTACTTTTAAAAGCATCACATCGTGCAATGTTTGAAGCATTTGTAACATGCAGGAATCACAAGAGGAAACAGGCTTGATTAGTACATTATTTTCTGCAGATGCGCCGTTCTTATGTTTCAAAGAGAGTTCGCCGAACGTTTAGTAGCGAAACCAGGCGATAAATTGTACTGTCGTCTGAGTATAAACACTCAGTTGTTGGCAAGAGTGGATTTACTCATGAAAGTAGGAAAAAATAATTTTAGGCCTCCACCGAAAGTAGAATCGAATGTAGTTAGAATAGAACCGCGTAACCCACCGCCTCCGATTAATTATCAAGAATGGGATGGTCTGACGCGAATTGCGTTTGTTAGAAAAAATAAGACACTTTCCGCGGCGTTTAAGCAGACGACAGTGTTAACAATGCTGGAGAAAAATTATAAACTTCATTGTAGTCTGAATAACATGGTATGTAACATAGGTATGATAAGGCGAATGCTTCTGGATATTCAACAATTTCTTTTTCGTGTGATATTTAGGAAGTGTCAGAAGGATTTGACATTAAAGAGATGGTAAACGATATCTTGCAAGAAGCAAACGCTGTAAATAAACGCGCTAGAACTATGGATATAGATGATTTTATCAGGTATGACAAATATCGTATTTATGGACATTATATCGATGTATCATGACCTGCTGTAACATGCGCTTATTTATATAACAAAATTTTTATTTTAGCCTTTTACACGCATTTAATGCAAAAGGAGTGCATTTTACATAATTAATATGTATTGTTTTCACAAAAAAAAAAGAATAAATAAATTTTTCTAAATAACGTGTAAGTGGTAATTTGAAGTCGGTTAACCCTTTCGCTACGATATCTCAAATATCAATTATTTTTAAAACTGTCTTAAATAAAGTAGAATTCCAAATACCATTCTAGAATTCTTGTGCTGTATATGTTATATTCTGCGATAAATGGCCTACGATGTCGATAGTAGCAAAAGGGTTAAATATACATAATAGTTACGAGAAAAAAATATATGGGAAATCATTATCTATTAAAAACCAGTTACCTTACGATTTACGTATAACATATATAATGTACATGTAACATTTCTCTGTTTACCTACTTTACAAAAAATTATATCCATGTAAACTTTTAATTAAATTATTTGCTTATAAGATACATGTATATTTACAAACATTCTTTGGGAATCAAGATCGTGAAGAAATATACCCAAGACTGTTATACATCGATGAAGATAATAGCGAGATATTATATACTCTGTAATTGTTTTCGTGTATAGAATACACTTTGTCTTCTTTCCACGCATTATCTAATGCTTTAACATTGAATCTGGGTACCATTGTTATCCAATTAATATACATTAAATAAAAGATTACGAACAGGAAAATCTATCAGTTAATGTTGGAATTTTTATAGAGTTTTTACATATCATTTTATAACACAAATGGAAGCCACTTTCATTTAAAAAGCAAAGGAATGAAATAATACGTGTAGTGCAGTATGCATATCTTAACATTCATGGATACACGGCCATGAAAAATTTTTCATTTTTGTTGACGAAGAACTAATACGAAATCACCATGCTTCATTATTGTGTATAGTTTATGCACGTACGACTGCTTAATAAAAATCATTATAAATTTTCAATTAAATGTAATCATCAGTAACATCTTTCTATGTTCAAAGTTAATTAACGATCAAATGCATCGTTACGTTTTTATCGATTTTGATTTGGTGTTACCCTGAGATCTTCTATGACTCCACGACTTTCACAGGAGCTATACGTTTCTCTTTAGCGTTGATCTAGTAGAATCATTCTTCGAATCGGAATGTTTCAATGCTGCGTATGTATAAATTTTTAAACAGGATGTCGTCGAGTTAATCGCGATCGCATCGATGAAGTATACGTTCTACTGTTAGATCGTTTCCTCTTTTTGCTTTTGTGCCTATCTTTATGTTTAGATTTCCTCTTACGCGTATACGATTTATTCGAATAATTGCTACACTGACTGTGCGATCGATAACGATCTTCCTCGGAATCCGAACTACTCAGAATTGCCGTCATTGTTTTCGATATCGACTCGCGTCCTTTTCTCGACACATCTCTATTCGGTGAATTGCTATCGTCGTCGCTTATATTTCGTTGAAATTCCCGTCGTCTGGAACTGACTCTTTTCTCTTTTTGCGATTCGTACGAAGACGAACTGCTGCTTCTAGATATAGATTGTCGGTCGTCTTTGTATCTTTGTTCCTTTCGATACGAATCCTTCACAACTGATGTTCGTTTTGTTTTACCTCTAGTTCTGATCACTCTTTCCCTTCTACCTGTATCGAAATCACTCGAGCTCGTCGTATAGATTCTTTGCGATTTTCGTAACGCGCGAGACTTTATATTATTAACGTTATCGTCGGAGTCGCTACTACTATCGCTGCTGAACGACTCGTCATCTGTGTAACGATTCTCTTTCTTAATTAAGTCTTTACGAACGCGTACAGTACCTTTCGTGGAATACTGCGAAGTCCTTGATTTTTTTTCATCGTTCGTTTTTGATGCAGTTTCATGAGAAACGGAGTCGCTACTGCTACTTATTCTCTTTTTGATCGTGCGTTGATTATTCCTTCTCGTCGTTCTTTTCCTAGGCTCGCTTTCTCCAGAGCTAGATAAATTTCTACTTACTCGGTTACGATTCCTTTCGACCGAACGATTGCGCCTTTTGGTAGTTGTACTTCTTTTCGATTTCTTGGCGCGACTTTGATACTTTCTGCTTCTTCTGCAATTGTAATCGCTGTCCGAATCGGAATTGCTTTCCGTGAACGAAGAGGTCGAGGTTCTTTTCTTGGTGGAATGAGATGTACTTGGTTGGCTGTTGTCTGCGTAAAACGTACACGTGGAAGACCTAGAAAAAAAATAGGAAATCGTCAATTTTTATTAGAAATGTTTCGTTTAAAATTGAACGTTACAAAACGAACAACTACTTACTGTGCGTTATCGGTTGATACTTGAGAAATGTTTATTTCTTCGGGATCCGAGGACACTAGCTCTATGATTTCCGGTGTTCTTTCGTGACGAGGTTTGACGTAACCGATCACTTCGCACTCATTGTCAGACATGGAGGAATCGGAGGAAATAGTTAAAACGTCCGGTACATTATACGAAATATCCAATTGGAACAGTTGTCCCACAGTACTTGGACCTAATTAAAACAATATTTTCAACTATATTCCAACCTTAAACATTAAACAAAATTAAACGAGTCGAAGCTTACCAGGTATACTGATCGTATGGGGTCCCACGCTAGGCGTTACAACGTTCATTCTAAGATCAATGGCCTCGTCGAGAACTCGAACGTCCGAGTCATCGGAACTAGTACTACTACTACTAGATGGAGGTGACACGACATTCGATACGTATTCGTTTGAAAATCCTGCAACAAACGTTAATCTTACGTAAAGGAATATAACGTTATTTATAATATAAAAGTAACCGTAACGAAATTATATACCTTGGTGCACATAAACCACAGACTGATCGTATCCAATTAAATCGAAATTAGTTCGTGCATAAATGCCTAGTTCGTGTACAAAGTGATCTGTGAACGTGCCAAAATACGGACGCACTATATCACGAAATTCGGGACTTCTAATATCATATTGACTAAGAGCATCCAATATAATTCTCAATATGTATGCAATATTCGGAGCGTTGTTAGTACGTAACACTTGTAATTCTCTATTTAACCATGGTATAAGTCGAGTCAACTCTCTGGGCTCCCTTCTGTAAATGAAATGCAATTGTTGTCGAGACTGTCCTTCGTAACGAATAAACAAATAGCGACTAACCGATAGTAATCAGGGCTACATTCCCGAAAACGCCCGAATACGTCGGGTAACGCGGAGGCCCAAATTCCATGTCTGTAGATGGTACGACGATAATCAGCTGGATTCATGCGTCTGTGTATACGTTCTTCCATCGACACTTGAGGAGCTATGCTTGGGAGTTGTTCTCTTCTTGCAACTTGTTCAGGATTGAGCACTATATCGTGCGGACGACGATGATGTCCTATCACAGTTGTCCTAAAACAATGAAAATTTTACAATATCGAACGTTACGTATTTAACGTCAAGTAGTATTATGGAATCGAGGTTTTATAGGACACCTGTAATGAAAACGATGTCCAGTGACGTCTACACCGTGTCCGAGTTCAAAATTAATATCCAAAGTAGCCAATTCTCTAGGCACATGGTACTGATCGTAATCCTCTTCCGATCTTACGTTATGTATGATCGATTTAAAAGTTTGCTTACATAACGGGCATTCTGTTTTTATCTTCGACCACTGAAGTAAGCAAGTGAAACAAAATTGATGAAGGCAGCTATCCGTGAACGACGTGTTCACTAGCTTGCCTAAGCAAATACTACAGTTAGGGGGAGGTGACACGGCACCATCGCTTCGGTCACTACTATCTGGATTCTGCACAGGTGCCTCTGACTTAATAGGTTCCTCTGCACCTGTGGCAGAATCTTTTACTTCTAATGGACCTTCCATTATGACTTGGTGTGCCTACCCTTCCATTAAAAAAAACTGGCCTGAAACATTACGTTATATTTTGTTAAAATAAATTATTTCCTGTATATATCCTATAAAAATGTATTATTTCATTCTTATATAAAAAAGTCATGTTCATGAAGAAAATATAATGACAATGAACTTAGTAAGTTGACATATTAAATGAATATCAAGTAATTCTAATTATATTTTCTGTGTTACTATCGACTATCATGTAATGATCATAATATATTATTCAACTTGAGATGAATCACATGATTTTTTGGGTACAATTTACAAACTCAATTTTATATAAGACATCTTGAGTGTCTACAAGTTTCAAAATATTCATGTGTAGGTGATACTATTAAAAAGCTACAATAGAGATTAGAAAAAAAGTGTCATTGGGCGATGTCAATGAAATCAGTCAACGTAGATAAACGTAAAATATAAAAGGAGCTATTTGCTAGTTTGTCAAAGTGGATGGATCGCAATCGTGAAACGAAATTATCGCGATAAAATAAATTACTTTAGACGTAAATTTCGACGAGTAACGATAAGAGCGAAACGACTATCCGACGTCTTCTTTCTCGGACGGAAAATAGAGAAAAAAAAATACGTCACGCATAGGAGAAAGAAGGCGTCATAAAGCTGTTTGATAATCTGTATGTTTCCATTTTACTCAACTTGTTATTGATTATCGATGTCACTATTTTTTTTTCCATAAATCATGCAATTCGATGGACACTGATGTCTTACCTTCGAGAAACCCAGAAAACAATCAATGTGTCGGCTCCAATGCGAAACGTAATTAACGTCTTCAAGAAGCTACCTTTTTCGTGAAAGAGCACTCTTATAGAAGCCCATGATCACAAAGCGGAAACTGGTGAAGCATAATGCCATGAGTGAGACAGATACCAAACGAAGGTAAGAATTATTGTCAATGATGGCACGAAAAAATGTTCCTAGGGCGCGCATGAAACTATACATAAAATACACCAACGACCAAACTTCTATTCGTTTGGTACAACTAAAATTTTATTCTCACGTTTTGCTAACTTTTACTGTTAATAATATTCGTTATCGTTGTTGGGCTACGTTTACATAGTTCAAATTACGGACTATGTATTCTGATGCAAAGGTACGATGAAAAATGGAAGGAGAACAACCTTTAATTGTCCTTCAGCCATCTTTCTATGGTCAACTAGTGGCGCTATCAAATTGGTAAAAAACTCAAGAAGACCTAGGATAAAATTAACAAAATACAGGGTGTCCCAAAAATGTTGTAACAGCTTGAAAGGGGTGGTTCAGGAGGTGATTTGAAACAACTTTTTCCTTCGCGAAAATGTTGTCCGAGGTTTCGTTAAGGAGATATTAAGCGGAAACCCCGACCAATCAGAGCGCGAGTATGCCGATTGAGCGTAGGCTACGCAATAGGCGGCCACGCTCATACGCTACCGCGGCCGCTCCATCGGCATACTCGCGCTCCGATTGGTCGAGGCTTTTCGTTTAATATCTCCTTAACGAAGCCTCGGACAACATTTTCGCTAAGGTAAAAGTTGTTTCAAATCACCTCCCGAACCTTTCAAGGTGTTACAACATTTTTAGGACACCCTGTATAATACAAATACAAATACAGAATACAAAGTACATAGAATAAATAAACAAACGAATCCTCTTAGCTACTTATATTAGAATAAGCAACACCGAGTTATCCCTTGAAAAATGATTAATATAGAAAGCTTCATTTGTTTTTATTTTCAGGAAGAAATCTGGAATTTGTATCCTTTTTACAGAATAAAACTTGTTCTACTGTAATCTGCAGAATTATGCCATGGAAATGAAAAGTTACTAGCATCCGTCGCCAATCGGAACTCTTGTTCCATGGAAACGAGGTTTTGGTTAGCGTTGGAATAGCGCCATAATAACCCCAAAGTATGACTACTTTTTCATTTAGGAATTTCACATATAATAATCTATACTTTGCACGTAAAATACAGAAATTATATTTATAATAATAAATGCAACGATATTAAAAGACCTGTAACAGATATTTCCTTGGAATACAAATTCACAGAGTTCACACTGTAGATTAGTAAAAACATAACCTACAAACAGGAAAAAGTTTTAGTAGATCTTTTGGAAACTAATGGAAATGAAAAATTAACAAACTTAAGGTACTCCGAAAGCTTGACGATATATTTGTTCGAAAATGAAAATTATTTAAGGAACTTTGCATGCGATGGTACATACGAATATACCGTATTTACGCAGAAAAAAAATGTAGGAAAACACGATTGTACATAACTTTTCTTTTCGGTTCGTCTAAACTAAATGCGTGAGCAGCAGACTAAATAATATGTAAAGAAATGTGATTTATTTGAATGCGTTATTTAAATTATTTAACGCGCGAACCATTCTTGTGTAAATTTAGTTTGTAATTTCGCTAGGTAGGATATCCCAAAAGAAATCTATTTTTACGCGATGTAATCAGAATTTATTTTCAGCAGAAATATCTGCCCTCTTAAATTTTTGTTTATCCAGTCTATGTCCATTGCGAATGTTTCTTGTTAACAGTATGTTCTAAATGAATTACGAACCATCTTTTTTGAGACAGATGTTTCCATTTTGCACAAAAAAACCTGTATATTTTTTTCTTTTGCTATACAGAGGTATGCAAATTATTAGGCTCAAAATAAATAAGCAACAAGAGATTTTTTTTTTAAATAACGCGTATTTAAAAATTCTATAAAAAGACATCCTATTACGGTTACTTTTTTTACGCGATGAATCTTGCTTTTCCCATAACCGCAATTTTACATAGCAAAAATGATCGATAAACGATCGACAAACGATTTAATTAAAACGAAAATACACGGTAAATATCACCCTAATTTTCGATAACAAGGAACATGCAATAAATAAACACTTGAGATATTAAAGATAAAATTTGATAATTGACTCATAAAACAATTCAACAAGAAAAAACATCTCCAATTAAATCTAATGTCGCGAAACTTTTAAATCGCGTATTTAATAAACAAGAATGATACCTTCAACCATAATTTCCTCATGATTCTGCAGCGAACTAATAAAAACGCTAAAGTATTGCATAGAGTCTAGTACTTTGAACACCTCTGTACAATCTAGTACAAGTAGAACGGGCAAATGAAATAGACAAAGGTAAATTATGACCTGTTAACATAAATTACGCAGAGAATATGTATGTATATCGCATAATATGTATTGCCCTGACAATCTATCATTTTTTTGTCTCATATATGTATATATATGTACAATAATCGGATTGTTTATAGTTCTGTCACTTTGTCAGAGTTACATAATTAGATTACATTTAATAGTCAAAGTGCAACCCGTAGATTGACATATATACATTCAATTAGTTACATTATCTAAGAGATTCAAATGTTAATCACATTAATTACGGATATTAATACTAAACAATAGTTGAGTTTAGATCTCTATACGTAATTTGTAGGAAACGTAACTCATCTACCTGATAACATCTCTACTTCTCTATCTGTATGGATGTGTAAATAAACGTAATTAAGCACTTTCAATCGCGTTTAAAGTGTTCTCGCGGTTGCTAAGAAGTTCAGGCTTGGCGTTCCTTAATTATAAAAAGCGCATACTAGAAATTTACAAGCGCAAGTCAGAAAAAGCAAACAGATTTAGGAATGTAATTTATTTATCAGATTTTTTACGGTTTATAAACAATAAATATAATTCACGTTTTAATGTATATCTGATAATATTTTATTTAGACCAAATTAAATTTGATACATGCATTTAGCGAAAGGTGTTATCAGGGGACGAGAGAGTAGATGATGTTTGGATCGAAGAACAAATCAAAAGGTTGTCTAGATCAAACATTCTACATACATAGAACTTGATATCTTCCCCCTTGCGTTCTCCGATTATACAATTCTTGAGAAAAATTCTCTATTACTCTCGCCAAACTTTCATTCGAATCAGAGCTTTGGTTGGAGCGTTTTTCCAATTAAATCTTCCTGTCGCACAGCGACACAGAAGTTCTACTGTATTCACAGAATAAAATACACGTATAATAGATACACCGCATTCTCGACACTTGTCGATATTATCGTAAAAGTTTTTTGTTAACACTCAGAACTTTTTAAGAGCTTCACGTTTAAACATTATATCTGTAAGCTCATTCTTTTTTCTGAATAATTTTTTTTTCCACACGAAACGATATAATAGGTATTGTTCGATCGCTCTAAACAGTTGCATTGATCCGGCTTATTTCTACTTACATGATACAGTATTGTTTTCCGCGAATGCAACAAATTAGGTAAACACGAAGTCTCACGATTCAATTCGGCCGAATTGTATACTATTTTCTCTTTAGTTTTCATCAATTTATTACATAAATTATTAAAAATTTCCATAAATACAAGACAGTTTCTGAATATCGTTAAATAATAATCTGACTTCTATTAGCTCGTTCGTAATTAAGTTTAAAATTATAATGTAGTATATCATAGATATACATATACATATATCGGCCAAATGTCAGTGGAATTTCGTGTTTGCCAAATCAGAAAATGTGAAGCGAACTCAGTCTTTGGTTGGAGCGATCAAACCTTGAAGATTTCCGACGTTTTATTTGTAAAGTGGCTATTGGGTCAATATTTTTAACATTAATAAATTTTATATAAAAATCCATGTACCACTATATTTCGTTTAAAGCGTTCCAACTAAAATAAACAAATGATTTTTACAAGTACATTTTTGGAAATTGTTTTCCGCACAGTGTCGCTCGTGTTTCTCAAAATCATACGTAGCAGAAGATTCTCTCCTTGACTCGGTAAACGAATTTTACAAAGGAAAAATGTAATGTAAATATTACCCACTAAATGATGATAAAAAAAAAAAGAAAAAGAAAAGAGAAACAAATGATACAATTAATTATACAAGTTTGCGAATACAATTAAAAGATGTACAAAATACTTCACGCTCAACAGTGAATTTGAGAAAAACGAGAGAAATAATGAAATATCTAAAATATGTACAAATGTGACAGAAATTAGATTTCACAAAATGTTATATAATATACAGGCGAGTGAAGTTCTTAACAAAATAATAAGTCCTATCCAGGATAAAATTTCTTTATTACTCCTCCTCTAAAATTGTCCCGAATTCATAAATTTTTCGTACACATCGCTGTGCGCCTACCACAACAACATTAATTACAGTTATTTTTTCAGTTAATTACCTAAAAGTAAGAGATACAATAAGCGTAATTATTTTTATATGTACAATATATCTTTTTTTGTTTGTTTCTTATTATGATTTCATGAAGTCTTTCTAGAATTTGCAACGTTTGCACCATTATATTTTTATTTCTCTCTTGATCTCGCGTTACGGCTCGCGAAAGAATTTTCTTATTGCATGCTTGAAAGAAATCTCTGTGCTTCAAGCCCCGGAAAATCAACGACTATCTGAAAACTCTTTATCATGGCCATTTATAATAGGATTAACAGAAAAATCCTCAGTCAGAATGGCTAACGTATCGATCTTGATCAGTGCCTACGAATTTCAAATTACAACAGATGCGTAACGAAATCTTTCTTTAAATGACAATACAAATTATGTGACGGATATACTTGAATTTCATCAGTTCCAAAATCGTAAATTTGATAGTTTACCTTCGATAACTATTACTATTTGCTTTTACATAGATCGCTTTTATAAGTCATACAGAAATACGAAACGTACGATTTGTGCCAAAGAAAAATTCGTTTAAACGAAAATTTACAATTGTTTTTTCTGTGTTTACATCTTCTTCTTCTTCTTCTTCTTTTTTTTTTTTAATGAAAATGTATGTCGAATATTGTCAATACCTTTTGCAAATTTAATTTCTGTTTGCTTCCTATGTTTTAATGTTATATCTCAATTATTATATGGGAAGGGAGACAATATTATAGAAAGACTAAGAGGAAGAGAATAACGCGCGCAAAAATGAGCACAGTTCCTTTTCTCTAGAGTAAACAAATTTTATCAGCAAAATCAAACCACCTTAATGTCAATTTTTCATATAACTGCACAAGTAGACTTTAAAATCTATTTGGCTACAATAAATCATAGATACATGAACAACAGATTGGGTCTTATTTTTATGGCAATATCATTTTTCGATGGGATATTATATGTTTGTTCTAAGCAGGGACTTAATAGTTGTTTACTCGAAGCTTAAACATAGACTTAGCTATTGGTCTAACTTTTATATAATTTGCTCATGTTTTGTAACGAATTCTGCTGGTATGATTAAAGTATTTAAAATAAGCCCTTTCCCTATAGTGATATCATTGAAACCTTGTTGCAGAATATTTCAAAAATTCAACAAAACATTCTTTTCAAGACTGCTTTAAAATCGATTCGAATATTTACGAGGAAACGATTGATTTTTTTTCATAATTTGTATTGCAAATAAATTCAGCGAAGATTATTTTGACTTTCGTAATTTACAATTGTTATAGTGAACGATATAAAAATTCTTAGATGTTCCATATAAACATTACAAATCCTGATACAGTTGTTATGAACTCATCGCGTTGTAATATGGATTTTTACGATACAAGCTTCCCAAACGCAACATTAGGATCTAAATTTATATGCTACAACTGCATACAAAGAGCGATTCGTTACATTTTAACAGCACAAAAATGCATGGCTTAACAATTGATGAAATAATAAAAACTTTCTGTACCGTTCGAGTAACTTTAACGCTAATCCAAGGACAATTATTGATAACAATGGTTCCTTTATTTCACAGCCTGAAAGCCTTTAACGTATTATTTCTTTGTAAAGAAATAAATCGAATGTCTTATTGTATTTAAATCGCATCTATGTACAGTAATGAAATAATCGTACAAGCCCACAGTAAGTCAAATCATTCTACTCTGAATTTACTGAAATGGGTAATGTTGTATTCGTTAATGATATTTATAAAATATTTACTATACAGTTTTCATAGGAAGCAGCTCCATTTCTGATTTCAAATAAAATTTATAATCATAAATGCACGCATAGAAATATCATCGTTAAAAATGTCGGCATTGTATTGCAAAAAAGAATGTAATTTAAAATTAATCTTATACAGAACGTTAATATGTATTTATTATTACATATTTGGAGATCTGTCTTATAAATATAATTGCCAAATGATATACGAAATGTTCAGAAATTTAAAAGAAGAGGAATAGTCGAGCATAAACTTCCGTGCAATATTTTATAATATAAAACAATTAATGCTGTGTCTGAGAAAGCTTGTAATACGATTGCAACAACCGCATCCTAGATTTTCCAGCAATATTACTTGTGTACAAATAAAAAAAACAAAAGCGACAACGGAGTTCTGTCAATTTTGTTCAGCATCTCAGCATCAGAGTATAATTTTGCTAAACGTAAAAGTTCCCTTGCGTCGAACATAATCATTCTTTCAAAGAAACAGAGAATACGCAAGCAATATTATTTCGGCATTAAACTTTTACATTTTTCTGAAAGAATAATTTGTATCAAGAAAGAAATGAAAAATAATATTAGCCAGAAATTAGCGCTAATGTAATGTATTTAAAAAAATAAACTTTCCCCCCCCCCCCCCTAAAAGTTCAGCGAAACACTGTGATTGCATTGAGTAATTGCGGTCGTTCAATGAGCAAGGAAACAATCGACATAGAAAAATGAATCGGAGCACGATCCTTTTGCGATCAAAAATAACTCGATACTTGCAGTGGAATCGATACAATTTCGTCGTCATCGCGCCATAACAGGCAACTGATCAGAGCATTTCTGCAATTGAATCTAGCCGTACCGCATTTCGTATTAACGAGCACGTAGTACATGTCCAGTACCCAAAGTCAGGCAGACATAGGCAAGGTAAAGTTAGCGAAGCCCCCACTGACGTATTGGCGGCAACAGGGGTGCCGATAGCAGGCATCATGTCACTTCCATTGCTAATGAATTTGTTTTGTTTGCCCGTACAAGTTGCTGCTGCTGCGGTTTACCGTCGCAAGCTGCACTTTCCACACCATCCACCTCCATATCCAAACTTTCACTATAATCAAATACATGACTTTTGATAACAAGTATTTTCAAAGAAGAACATCATTCCTCTGAAATATGCTAAATAGCGACTGATATTTTTCTTTACTAATTCCATAGGGGAAGCTTGCAAAAATTCATTCGCTTTCAACATTCTCATTTAGTTGATCTTTCTAATTAAAATTTTACAAATAAGCGTCAACGTACAGAATAGAATACATTTAAAGAAGTAAATATAAGGAATCTCTAAAATGCTTTCATTTGAAAAGACTTTGTCCGATCAATCTTAAATTACCTTTAAAGGAAGCGTGTAAATCATTTTATCGGATCCATCTATTTTTAAAATAGTATCAATGTAAATCAGGGTGGTGATTAAACCAGCATGCTCTCTATCTAATCGGGTATTTTAGTTGACTCGTACAATTGCACATGCATCGACTTACCTATTACTATTAAGCGTAATTTCCCCGGACGTTGGGATTTGTTGCGCCTGACTTTGCGTTTGTTGTTGTTGCCTCGCGAGACTGGCCAATTTGCTCTGCGCGATCAAGCCAGGTAACAGATTGGACGGCGGATGTTTTTGCGGCAGAACTATCGTCGACTGATTATTCACCATATGAGTGCTATTCGAAATATTGTTAGAGTTGTTTATATGCGGTAACGGGCCGTTTTGGTGGCCGTTACCAAAGTTTGTTATCGTTCCACTGGTCGTGGTACATGCACTAAACACTCTAATTCCAGCACTACCACTGCCACAGTTGCCGCCATTCCTATTATTTGTTGGACTAGTCAAGGACTTTGACAGAATGGAAGCGGTACTGCTATTGTTTGGCAATTGTCTGTGTTGCAGTTGTTTAGACTGGTGGTTCGATTGTGTCTCGGAAGCGGCGTTCGCGCATTGCGTGGACACTGTACTCGATGTTGTCGCTTGATTGGTCGTACACGAGAAAGACGACGGGACTGTAGAACTTGTACAAGTATTTACAACACTAGAACCACTACCACTGCACTGAGGCCGACCCTGCTGTGTCACAGGCTGTGCAAAAAGACTGCTAAGTAGCGGAGTCACAACGAAATGTGAACTGCCCAGCTCGTCTGTCCGCGAATCGCTAGAGTTATTGTCAGACAGTTCACTAACACACGCACTACCGGTGATATTTGCTACGGCAAGGTCGAAGTCCGACACAGCGTCCACCGAGAAATAATCAGCGATATTAAATTCAGACGTGAAAGGTGGTTCGTCTCCCGCACGTTCAGGCTCTACTTCCACGCAGATGGATGTAGCGTCGGGTGGGAACGGGTACGGAAGCGGTTTCGTTTGGGATACGGTTGGCTCTACGTCCGAGTCCGTATCGCTACTTTCTTCGCTTGGACTATGCACTGAGACAGGTGGAGTCTTTGGTCGGTAATGTAACCTGTGACGAACATAAATACATCGAGTAAGTAAATCCCATTCTAGAAAGCAACGTTTCCAGATCTCGTTCAACGTACCACTCTTTCTTAACTGGAGTTGTTGTGGCAGTTGTATCGGAGTCCATTGGTTCTCGTTTTGGTTGGTGTATCGTGAAGTCTAAAGACGACCACATATCATCCATATCGGTTGAACAACGATCCAATATTACTCTACAAGTACATATCAACAAAGATGATCATTAAGAAATGTTATTTTTCACGTATAAACATTTCCGTCTATGTGACAACGTCTATCATACCTTCCACCCCGACCAATTCGTCGTCGCGCAAAACCAATACACCTCGGCACTGGTTTGCTGATACTGGTCAGTGCAAACCTATACTTCTTATCAGCCAAGCCTCCATCGTTTTTATCACACCAAGGCCAATTTCCAAACCCACCTGATACAGGCTGCAAAGAGAAAAGCTCTATATCTACAATCCTGAAAAAAAGAACTTTAAGACTATTTCCACACTTTTACGATAACTCATGACATTTTTTCATTGACACCCATGGCATAACATTAAATAACAGCCCATATCATTGAGATAAATCCTGTTCGATTCAGACACCACATCGAACATTCTTCGAGGACTATTTTCGCAGAAAATACACACAAAGAAAAATAACTTCCACGAATTTAATAGCACTCACTGGTAAATAAGTGCTATTTCTATTCCGTCGGAACGCGAATTGACCCTCGTCAGCGGTGTCTTCGTCGTCACGATCCGAGGGAACAGAGGGCTGAGAATGTGAATGAGATGGAAGCGGACTGTCTTCGTCTGAGCTCATCAGTGGGTCCAGCCCACCTCCGAGAACACCAGGCCGACTTCCTCGACCACCTCCGCTACCTGTTCCGCCGCGTACGCCGTTATCGTCTAAACTTCCACCTCTGCTGTCAGTTTTATGTTTTCTTTTCTTGTACTGTCTTTTTTCTTTCCTGGGTACTACTTCGTCCTATTCGAAATAAATAACAATTAACGCATTATCACAAAACAGATTTTTTCTTAAAAATACTTACTTTACTACAAACTTTATTCGCCCAATTTTGATGAACACCAAACTGATTTGTAAACAGCGGAGCAAAAGCTGGCCTCGGTGTTTTCAGCGCCGATACTTCGGCTAAGATTTGTCCATTGAAGTCTTGTGCCTGATATCTGTACACATTATTTTAGTTACATTACGTCCAAAATATATTCTCCTGAAAGACAAAGAGTATAAAGAGTTAGGAAAACTGGTTGCAAACCTTTTCTCGTAGACTTCTATAGTAAGATGTAAGTGTTCTCGCTTGGTTTTCTCTCTTCGTTTAACCATTTCAAGAAGAGTAACTGCTCTACTAAGATCCCTACGAAGTTTCAGCATTTTTTCATAACTAGTTTCGTCGTTCTTACGATTTTTACGTGTTTGCATTTTTTCCGTTCTACGTCTAAACGCTAAATAAGGGTTATTGGCAGCTGAACCGAAACGATGCTCCGTTTTCACTGTTAATAGAAGCGGGTGTTGCTGTAACAAAGATCAAAGTACGTTTATATTAACCGAATATTTATCAAGAATTCTTAAGCATTATGGTACTTATAATATCAAAGCTGCAATAAACATAATCCTAAGACTTTATAAAATTATTTGTATGGTACAGCATAACAACTACGCTCATAGTTGTTGTATGTAAAAACTTACAGTCTTGAGACGTTTATTCAGCCAGTAATCAAAAACAGCAATAATTAAATCGTCGTCTTCTTTCAAAAGTGCTTTAGCTTCGTTAAGCGTGACTACAGTTTGTCCCGAACTTTTCTCCAAACGATCCATCATTTCCTCGAATTGAAGCGGGGTCAAGTCCATTTTACGGCTTTGTACTGCAACCCACTTTTCATCTTCCGAATCCATATCATAATCTGGAATATCTTGTTCCATTGCGAAAGCTTTAAAAAAATAAATATATATGATTATCCAATTTCATCTTTACAAAACAGTAGTAAACACTACAAATCAGAATTTTTTCATATTTTCTTACGCTGCATATGTATAAGTTGACGAGGAAGCTTGTAATCGGCTGGATATATCTTATCGTAAGCTTCCGCGTCTGCCAAGTCGGTTACTTCGGGGGTAGGAATGATCAGACCCGTACATATTGCTCTTTGCAAGTGATGTTCCTGTACAAAAAATCAATACATCAAACTTGATCCTGTATGAATTACTTCTGATTTTATGTTGGTAAAGTATGATATAATTGAAACTGAGTAGCTATAACAGTGTATGATATAGTATAAATAATATTCTTGTGAAATTTACTAAATGAGTTAAATGTATTGAACGTATCAAAAGAAATTTTTGGTTGTATAAAAATGAAAAGAGTTGCAATAGCACATCTAAGATATGTAAAGTAAGAATATAGGTATGAACATATACATTGTTGATACATTCTTTATTTATTATATACTCTTAATATATTGTTCATTAATTAGATTGGTATAAGTATATACCAAAAATGAAAGAAGCACAGATAATGAATATAAACCATTGCAGTGTCTGCTTCGCATTATATATCAGTGTTATCGCTATATAAATAACATATTGCTATTATTCGCGATCAACTTCAAGAATATAATGTTGAATAATCATTGTTTACACGGTATAGAATACTCAAATAAATTGACTACAATATAAAGAAAACATTGAAAATCCTATGTTGTCACAAAAGCAACAAATAATGTTAAAAGTTTCAGTATGTCGAACAGCAATGTTGAAACATCATGTTTAATTTAGTTGCTGCTTCGAAACAAGGGGTTGACAGCTGTCAATAACGTTTCATCTAGACGCATCGATGCCCAAAGAAGAAGCGTAACAGACGAAATAAGGTTGAAAATTATATTTAACGTTAAAAACAAGAATTTTCACACATAATAATGATAAAAAGGCTGCCATCTGCCGGTTGTTTACGAAGATGCGCTCGAGGGTAAGATGGCGGACGGGGAAAACATGCTGGAAGAAGGCTGAACAATTCGACTTACACATTCCTCCTCCTTTTCCATGCCGCTGGGCATTTGGGGCACAGCACGGTTAATGGCCGAGTAATCTGGCAGATCCGGCAGTTCCTCGGCCATGTAAATCGGCATGGGCTTGGAAGCGTCCAGGGCACGGGCCCTGAACGACAGCTTGCTCATCCTGAGGCGGCTGGCTCGCGTGTTGACAACCGAGTTGGCTGGTGTCGAACCGTGAGGCCAGTCGGGTCGGCTCGGGCCTCGGGTTTGCGGAACGTGAACCTGACTGGGCCTGGCTGGGGGCCCTGCGCCCGTAATACCCGGCACAGAGAGCGGTCAGGGCCTCATCGTTCTCCGGCCATCGCGCTGGAACACGGTCACTCAGTCACCAAACGAGATATATCACTTTGAAAACATGTTTGCGTGACACGGTCCCTGCTCAAAGCCATCATGGCCGACGCACAGCCATTTAACACGTTCAGCTCGAGCAGTTCCGCGATGCGCCGCGTGCCGCGCGGGAATCGGCTCACTGCCGCCACCGGTCCGCTCCCCAACGCTCATTGGACGATACGCGCTTCTCCTCCACTCAAGCCTCGTTCACACTGTCCCTACACTTTTATTCGAAAATTTCACTGTTTTTAGACTTTACAATTTCCCACAATTCAATTCATTCGTATATCATACGAACTGGGCAAAATTCGTACGCGATAGGACTGGCCGGATTTCAATGGCAATTTTAATGTGTTTTTATTTAATACTAGCTGTACCTGGCTATACTCAGTTTGGTTAACGCTAAATCTACCGACGTTCATGTACTTATAGTCTATTTTTACTGAGATGGAGAATACCTTTGACCGCGCAATGATTTTTGTTGGAAATGCCACCAAAGGGCATGTCACTGCCAAGGCCGCGATCGCAGTTTAAGCGCCCCGCGCAAGCGGACGAGATTTTTCAATTCGTCGAAACAATTTTGAAAAAATATCATGATCTTTTCCGAAATATTATTATAACTGACAAATTCTTTTGTTTCATTTCTACTCGTCGAGTTTAAAGTACGATCAATGTTACTCCAATTGAAAAAATTACATAGTTTCGTTGTCGCTATTTTTCATAAATATCCGCAGTCTAATTATATACAATATTAGATCTATCGGAAAGTTCTGTCCGTTTTTAAAATAACAAAAAGTAATAAATTCCTCATACCTTGAATAAATTTTATTGAATAATATACTTTTTATCATTATTTATGTCATCTTGCCTGCATGATTGCAATGTGTATATTGTTTTCAATAAATATGCGCGTACTTGTTAAAAACTTGTAACCGGAACAGACAGAACTTTCCAGTAGACCTAATATATGAACGAACATTTCTTCTATTAATCGTTTTGTATGAATTGAAGAATTAAATAGCAACTTATTATCACAGAGTATACGTTTGTATTTTGGAATACTTTGCGCACGCGTCGCTCTCATGCGGATACTTTGAATTTTCAGTTTGCCTACGTAAATGAAAATCTTTATTAATTAATCTTCTTAAATTTAATCATATTTATTTGTACTATCTACAATTTTAGCGTAAAAATCAAGCGAACGTATCTCATTACCATGCTTTCAAACTAAATTACACGTAACCACATAGTGGTTGCTACAAGTTTTTCAGTCAACGTACTACGCGTTAAAATAAACGAGAATTTGACAAATATAAGTAACGACAACAGAACCGAATTAAAATCGTCGATATAATCGTCTTTAAATAAAGGATACAAATAGTAATGCATAAACGACGATACTTCATAAAATAATTTATCTTCTTTGCATTCGATGAAAAATTTAGGTTAGACGCATCAGTGCACCACGTTTTCGTCCATGGTGTGCAATATTGACGCAACGCGATATAATGTCAGATTATCAATTCTGAAATGTTTCCAATAAGTAAGAACGACAAATAAATCGTTGAATATTATATTTAACTACGAAAACATTTCATTGATACTAAATCGGATTGCCGCGTATCGATATGGCGCATACCATTGCAATTCTATCCACGATTCCTAAGTTATCTTACCATATTCGAATGCAACTTCCAAAGTCAACGATATGCGATGTTTCGCCAGGTATTATTTTTTACATGCACTTTCTCTCATGTTTCCAGAGCTCGAATTTCTTGCAATGATTACGTGTTACAGCGCACTACCGCTACGATCCGTTGTACACTGAATTTGCGTATTTTACATGTACAACTTGGCAGAAAAAGCCAGCTTATTCAAATATTTGACGTAAATTTAAAATGTTTATATTACGTAAAATTCGAACGATACAAGTTTTAATTTGCGTCTCTGTTGGTTGGCCCTTTCATTGTTGAAATGTATTTTATTCTTGCTACACCCGGTAATTTTCCTTTGTTTCAGTTTCAAAAGATCAAAATGACACGTTGTCGGAATTAAAATGTGCGGACATAATCGTAACAGATTGCGATTTATTTTTACCATATATGGATAAATTACCATCGTTAAAATGGGTACAGACAACGTGGGCTGGCATCGAGACGTTCGTTTCACGTTTACAAAATAACAAAAAATCTAATTACGTTATTACAAGATTCTCTGACAAAGCCTTTGGGTTTGCCATGTCCGAGTACGTGACAGCACATATTTTTAATTTTGAACGCGATCAGAGGCAACAATACGAACAACAAAGAAATTGTAATTGGGAGAAAAGTGGAAAAATTTCTAATCACAGATTGATTTGCGATCTATCTGTGGGAATTCTAGGCTTAGGAAACATAGGAAAATCAAGTAAACATGTATTGCATTTTGTGTTGATCGTTTCCGTGGAAAATATTTAATTTAAATTTAAGTATGCCTAATTCTTGCAGTTGGACAGAAATTGAAAACGTTCGGGGCTACTGTGTGGGGAATAACACGGACACCACTTAAAGAAAAATTAGATTACATTGATGAACATAGAACAATTGAATCCCTACCTGAAATGCTCACGCATTGCGATTATATTGTTAATGTTCTACCATCCACACCTAATACTATAGGTTTATTGAATGGAAATGTATTGCAAAACTGTAAAAACAGAGGCAGTGTCTTCATCAATATAGGCCGGGGTACGATCATTAACGAAGTAGATTTATTAAACGCCATTCAGCAACAGTGGATTTCTGGAGCAATACTGGATGTTTTTGAAGAAGAACCACTGTCAAAAGATAGTAAATTGTGGTCAATGCCACAGGTATTTTCGTTTTTATTCTTCCAACGCGAAGTAAAAATGTTGGCACTTATGTAAATTGGTTAAATTAACATTTTTTTTATAGGTTACTATCTCACCACACATTTCAGGCGTGACTCGTCCCCAGGATGTTGGCAGACTTTTCGCTGAGAATTATCAAAGATTCATTAAAGGTGAAACGTTGTTAAATACGGTAAATTTACAAGAAGCATATTAGTTATTTAAAAGATTCAACTGTTAATTGAATTTTTGTACCAGTTTTCTTTTTAAACAATTTTATACACTGTAAAAATTAAGCTAAACTATATAGATGATTATTAATTATAAAACTTAAATAATATTAATATGAAAACAATTATTTCAATAATTTATTATATATAATAATATATATTATTAGTATTAGAAAATATCCTCGCAAAATATTTACTCTGTTTCTTGAACAACCGGGCTTGGAGATGGTTTCAAACCTCGTATACTAAGGTCATAAACTACTTCCTCTACTTTTTTAACAGAGTACTTTAAGCTGTCGAAACGTTTCCTTAAATTGTCATTTTTTAAATTTAAAAGTCTGAAACCAGCGATTAATTCGTTCACAAATCGTGCTATCTCTATAGGTCGATTGTAATCGCCGTTAGTAACGCTATTTACAGCGAAACGACTCTGAAACATAACGTATAAATGACTAGCAACCACACTCATGCAATAAATTATATATACCAGTTCTGCTGACAATTGTAGTAAGCCCATCAAGAAGTCTTCCAAGTCCAAGTGAAAACCGTCTTCTCTATTATTTTGAACTAGGTACATTTCCAATGTAATTTAGTATGAAAGAAAATACATAAATACACTTATATTATAAAGTAAAGTAAGAAATACAAATAAATTTCTATTACAAATCACGTACCTCCTAACATTTCCGCAACAGTTTCCTTACTAACCAAAACCTTAACCTCTAAATATATCACTAAAGAGGCTAGGAAACATAATTTTTGCGTGACAGAACGCCAGTGGTCGTGAAATCTATAGTACTGATCCTTTGGTACAATTTTTGCAAGTGCAGCATAACTTTTACGTACATTTTCGAATAATTCTCTTGCCATTGTGCAGTATTTAGATACAACTGCGAATAAAAAAAGAAAATAAGTGTTATGACAATACAATGATATATTAGACATTCTCATACTTATGTTTTCTTCAAAGTTATTTTCATTATGAATGTTTTGTAATATCATCATAATATCTCTGGCAGTCTTTTCAAGATCTCTTACATTAGTACGGATTTCCTTTAACAAAAGAAAATTAATTTTAATGTACTTTACACATAAGATGTAAATAAACTTAGCTATTCGGTCGTTATAATTTAAAATTGTAACGAACTTTCGCGTAACATTTTGCAAACATATAACACATCAACCATAAGAGTAAACAAACCATTCTAATACAAACAAAAAAACGAGGAGTGGCGTAAACCTACAAGTCTGAAACGATTTCTTTTATCATAATTTACATAATGTTATTTAACAAGATTAACGATTTATCAGTCGAATGTAATTGTTATCAATGTATTGTACCCACCTCGCGTATTTCTTCTTCGTTACTTAGAAAATCCTGAAACGAATTAAATATTTCTGATATTCTCTCAGCCATATTGTTCTTTATTCTTCGGAAAAATTAATAAAAGATAAGGAAACTGTGTGTAACAATGTTTCGCTGAAACAATATCTTATCAAGATTCCGCTGGTTCTGCCCAATGTTGTTTAGACGCAGTAAGTTAAACGAAGTTAGGCGAGCCGGGATTTTAGCGTATACACGGAGGGATGTCAAATTGTAAGAGCAGTGATACCAAATTTGTAGGCGAAATTGGCGGGAGTTATAGTGAATTTTTTCGCGAGGTATAATTTGTTTCTTTAGTCGGCTGTGGCATAGGGAGTATACGAATATACAGGGTGTCCAAAAATGTTGTAACATCTTGAAAGGGATGGTTCGGGAGGTGATTTGAAACAATTATTTCCTTAGCGAAAATGTTGTACGAGGTTTCGTTGAGAAGATATTAACGGAAAACCCTGACCAATCAGAGCGCGAGTATGTCGGTTGAGCGTAGGCTACGCGCTAGGTGGCTGCGCTCATACGCTACCGCGGCCGCTCCACCGGCATACTCGGCCTCTGATTGGTCAGTGTTTTTTCTTAATATCTCCTCTACGACGCCTCGGACAATATTTTCGCTAAGGAAAAAGTTGTTTCAAATCACCCCCCGGACCACCCCTTTCAAGGTGTTACAACATTTTTGGATACCCTGTATACGTACTTTGGAAACTTTGTTTACTAATGTGTTGGAGGTCGCAAAAGAAGCAACCTGAAGCGAACCGCTAACGCTAACTGTTAGCGGCTAACGCTGCCGGTAGCTAGCGCCAACTCGTGCTGATTTAACGATCTACATTATCTACAATCAGGTTCGTTTGTTTTCAAATGCACAATGAAGAACCACGAAGAGTCAACTTGTTGCTACTCGTCGGTCTTAATATCTCGATACTAAAAATGGTAACAAACGACTATTTTATATGGTATTCGTGGCACAAAATGTACTAAATATATTAACACATTGCTCAGCCACTCAGAAAGTGGAGGTTCCTGCAAAAATGTTCTAAACAAGGTCTAACAAGAAATAAAAACACGCAGAAAGCTGAAAGGAAAACACATCCACTTTTCCAAATGAAATTGAAAGAAGCTTCACAAAGAAGCTTCACACATGTCGTTATAATCTTCGGCATGAGAAATGCAGACAATGGAAACTTTATGGCCAGGTTTGCGTTTGAATCACCTTTTTAATTTAGTTACATTTTACTACCGATATCGCCTAAAGTATCACAGCTACATTCACGATGATACTTTTCAGAATACGCATGCGCACTCAGAATTGGAACCTGCAAAAATTTCATCTCCAAAAGAGTCCCTTTCGACGATGCTGCGTCGAAACGAACGGCACGATCGTTTCACGCCAACGATCATGCCACGACATCGGTTTCAACCGGTCCGGAACAGAGTCCGTAAGCGCGTGAGCCATAAGCTGCGCTGCAAGGTCTCGCGCGATGTATAAATAGAAACCAGTAGGTCCTGCTGTGAAGTCGAGGAAGATGGTTGGAATTCTACAGGATGCCTCTACGTACCTCGTAGAGGATACCCCCGGGGAATCTGCGGGCGTGTCATTGATCCCGATAGATGCGTTCAACCAAACGTCCGCGAGAGAGAAAGAAAGAGGACTGGCTTTATTGAAAAGTTCACGCCCACGTTCGTGTGCTCGCGAGGGCTGCGATCGGGTTCGCCAGGACTCGCTTAGGCAAATCGACGATACATATAGTCGATGTATTAGATGTACAAATTATTTCTGTGCTTGTATATTCGTACATTTATAACTTTAGAAAGGTACAGAATTCATTTCTACGGTTGATATTGTATACACAACGCCTGTGAACGTGATGGTAGTCCACTCAACGTTTTTGTTTATATTTGGATGTATATAAGGGATACAATGATAAAACTTACGCATCCTAGTATAACTCTTAATAATAAGAGATATAAGTACCTACACATAAGATTGCGTATATTTTATTTATCCTACATAGTACACGTTTCATTTTAGGTACACCCATGTAATAATTAATGCAGAAAATATCGAACGAGTTCGTTGTAAGAAAAATATGCAAATATTGGAGTTCATTCGAGAAAACGAGACTAGTATATTTTTCAATGAACTTGCCATGACGTCAATCTCCAAGAATATATTATCTTACGAACGAGTGGCTGGTATTATAGCGTGGAAAATGGATGCAAAATGATCGGCGACAACGAACCGATTGAGATCCTGTTGGTCGAGGAAGAAGAAAGCTGGGCGACCCGTTAAACTCGCATTCCTTCGAGCGGCTATCTTACTAAAATTCTGGTGCCGTAGGCCGTCATAAATTTTTGGTACACCGAGGTTCGTACCGCGGTGCAAGCTCGATGCAGTCGCGCGTACGAACCGTTTTAATTTTAGCAGAAGCGATCTTATCGTCGAAGGAAGATTGCAGCCAGTTGCAGGCGTTCGCGTCTATTCGCGTTTCATTTTAATGAAATTTCTCAGGGTTGTCACGAGTGGAGGACTGAGGATAGGCAAAGATTGCAAGTATGTTAGAGCCTCTGGCAGGACGTCGAAAAGTCACTGGGATGTCGTGGTCGAACGCGTAGCAGAAGTGTGGGAAGCCAGCAAGGAGGTTAGGAGTCGTGGATGAACTTGTATATAGATTTACAGGAAACTGCTGTCGAGGTGGATGTCACGAACTCGTAACAGAACTATGTGGACTCGTTAGGAGGTTAGGAATAAAATTGCTAGCGTATACGTTTTGACTCGCTAGCAAACGAGGGGACTCTTACTGCCTCAACCAGACAGTTTGGGTAGCTCGGAGTGCAATCCTAGCTTTAGCCTGTAATAGGCGTGCAATAGGTAATATCACTAATATCCTATACTCTGCGACTTTGAACAGTTCGGTCGTCGGTTCGAAAATTCTCCAGCAATGACGTAAACGGGTAGCGCCCCGCGGGCATTTCTTTAACGCAGGCGTCACCCATACGCGGTCCCTCTTTTATACCTGCGCGAATCAAAACAGACGGCCCCTTATCTTTCTCGCTCGAGTTACCTCGATTCCCGCGGGGCTCCGCCGTTTTAATTGCGACCGTTCCTGCGACGAGACTGGTTCGCTTTCGCAGTTTTAAAACCAGCGTGTCTCTGTAAGTGGAGCGAACTTATAATAATTTTCTTTGCAGACGCGTTCTCTTCAGCACGTCGATGTGAACGGTACTTAATGCTAGTGTTTGCAACGACAGACACGTGAAATGCATCGGTGTAAATGTCAGGGTCACCGGCATACGTAGCAGCCTTTCAGACGAATGCCGATTAAATGCCGACGGTTTTACTAGCTTTACGCCGGCAGAAACCATTCTAATTGGATAATTTGTTACCGAAAACGGCCAACGGGAACATTTTGTCATTTTATCGAACTAGTAATTCCAAATTCACGGGGCTTCAGGTTCGCGTTCTCTGGTAACATTGTCGAGGTAGTTGTTTCGAGATAGTCACGTTAAAGAGTGCAAATGGAAACTGATGTTGAAAATACATTGTTACAGTTTTACAAAATTTTTATAGAACTGGGGCGGTCAATTTAAATTGAAACAGGCTCGTACGATTTATATTCAATCAGAGAACAGTCGAGCGAAGTTTTGTTGAAATCCTCCGTTAAATAAATCCACGGAACAACAACCTTAAAAAATCGAGCGATCCGTTAGCCGCACGCGTACCTGTTTACAAATTCGTATTCGCGTATTGACATTCTCGCGCGCGCTCGTCATAAAAACGAGCGAGAAAACCTGTTTGACGCGCAAATATTGAACTGCTACTAGGTTCCTCTCTCGTAACAATCTTGGCAACGACAATAACGCGAAACGTTATGAATATTAACCCTCGGACCACGAGCTATACCTACTCGCGCCCGCTGCGAACGTCGATGTTTTAGCTCTTTGCGCTTTGTAGCGCGTTAACACGTTGACCGCCACGTCATCCATATATATGGGTGACAGTGCTTTTCACTGAAGAAGTAGAAAAATTAATTTTGATAGTCAAACATGAAAGGAAATGAATTTGAATGATATTCATGAATTTTGATGAAGTTACAAAAATAAATAGCACGATAAACGTTTGATTGTGTAGTTTCAAATAGTTTAAATAATATTTAATCCTAGCAGAAATTTTCACGAATATTTATCTGGCAGTCAACGTGTTAAACAGTTTAACTTTGAAACCATGTTATTCGTCATAACGATACTCGGTGGTTTCTACGTGGATATGGATACGTCTCTTAGATCTCCGTTTCGCGTTAAAACGCAGCCACGCAAATGTTACGGAATCTTTTTTCTCTGCGTCCATAAAACGACGCAACTCGTCGCTCGATTGTTACGAGTACCAAGCGTAAGCAGTACTCGGAGCTGGAAAATACAGAGGAACCGAAGTAGGAATAATTTTCCACGGAACGATACCAAAGGACACCAAACAAATTCCACGCGTGGAGGCGCGACTCGCAACACACGTTGCGCGGAGAACCAACAGGTTTCACTCGCCGGACTAGTTAATAAATTATCGTAGTCCGCCGCCATCTTCATCTTCGACGTTGCAAGTGGGAATTCGGAATACTGGCCAGCCATTGCGGAATCAGTGCACCTCGTTGATTGCGAGCCGATGCCACAGGACGAAACCATAAAATGGACCGCAACCTGTTTGCCCGTGTACTCGAAACGGTTATCTACGGAACAGCCATAATTATTCAATCAATCGGGCGCGTTAGTCGACCAGCTGTGGATTATAATTTCACATATTATACTTATTACGTATTATTTTTCGCACGAATCTATTAAGGAGAAGTTCCCAAGCATGATCCCGACCGTGCAAAAGTTGATTAAAAAAATCATTGTCACGCTTGGAGACCTCTCCTTGCATGTTATCGCGACTTTCTACTGATTTATTCAAAATCCCGCAGGTTTCTTTTCCCCGAAATTACGGCTGAGATCTGGATTCTCTTCGGATTACGTCGTCGCGAGGATGGAAAAAAAAGAACGAGACTCGAGCGGAAATAAAGGGCAATCGCGGCCGCAAATTATAGTCCTGTTGTTCTCGGCTCGGCGATCTATAAACGGAGGACCGTTCTTTCTCGATCGCGTCGTTGACGTATTCCGTTTAAGCTCGGCCCGTTTCCTCGGCTAGCCAGCGTCTTTGTTTGTTTGTTTGTTTTTTTTTTTTTTTA